CTTTTAATTACTTTTCCATTGTGATCCAGTCACTTGAAGCTTCTCAGAGCAGTGGTGGGTTCTGAGTCCTTCTAGTTCACAGCTCACGTTGTTCCTATTCTGTAGCTCCACGTGCCCACTTGGCAGTATTAAAATAGTGACAGTGCAGTATGTGATCAGAAGCAGAACCTCTCTTCTGCTTTGCCTTTATATTCTTTGTATACAACAAATGATCAGAAGAACTGGCTGTGTCAGATACCCTGAGAGTTTTTTCTGGGATGTTTGTTGCTAATGATGTCCTCCAGCTGCCTCCCTCAGTGCCTATTGCCCACAGCATGGCTTTCAATCTCCCAGGGTCCTGTTTGCTTGATTTACAGGCATTCTGTATTACATTAGGCTATTCAAGCTTACTTGTTGGATTCAGATAGCAAAACAAGCATTGAGTCATCCGCAGATTTGCAAGGAAAGGGTTTATCTTCTTGTCTGGGCCAGCAGCAGAGGTACCTCATGCTGCGGGCAGGAGGAAGTCAGCCCCAAGGTATCTCTCCCCTGCTAACACATCCATCTGTCAGACAAATGCCTAGCTGTATATCTTATCTTTTAAGACTCTCTAGTACTAATTGTTCAAGTCTCTTAATTTATAAATGTAGACTCATAGCAAACAATAATTTAAAAAAATCTTGTCCAGTAAACAGTATCAAACATGAGAAACACATCTTTGGCATTGCCAAGTAGTGAGAAGACCAAGACTAGTTAGGAGGCCATCAATTCCCATGCCCATCCACTACAAAACAGAATACAGAGTGAATGCTGCACTGTGCATTCAACAGTTTTGCTTCTCTGCAGGATATACACAGATCTTAATACCAGCCAGTATATTTTCTCTAAATAGTCTCTGATTAACTGCATGGTCAGTCAAAGGGGTTAGATTTCTCCATGCATAAATGTAACCTGAGGTCCTAATGGAGATGACAGAAATTCTGGCCATCAGTAATTTACCTGTATCTGCTACTGCTTTGCTTCTCTGTACAGACCAGAGTACTCTCACAGGTCACTCTGCGCTTCTGTGGGTACCTTTCTTAGTTGTGTCATCCCTTTGCAGTATCAACTTCCTGCTGTTTCTGTATAGACTATATAAGTTCTTACTGTGGTAGTGTGTAAGCAGGATGTGTATTTGCTTAATAAGGACGTCCATAAGGACAGGGTGAATGGCTGCCATAAGGAATATAATCTGTAGTTAAGCATATTTCACCTTTGCACATCACTGGATGAAACAGGAAGGTGGGAGCTGACAGCCCAGTCACAAATGATGGCTGGGACCTTGCTGTAAAGTAAGCCCAGTTGATACTCGGCTGCTAGGACTGATTCCAGTTGTCTAGCCTGAAGTGATTTGGCCAGAATCGTAACTCGTGTTTTTGCTCTGAGGAAAAATCATATTTTAAGCAACTAATAATTGCATTGCTATTATTAATAACTAATGTGTATAATAACGCTGTATGCTGATGAAATTAACACTCATACTTTGCAAAGTTTAACACTGTCCATCTGCTAAAGGATATAATAGCGTGACACTGGCAGTCACTGTTGGGATGCTGGGAAGTATTTTTGTATGAAAATCAGAAAGCAGGCCTGAATTAACAGTGCAAGCGTTCATAGCAGCAGGGCAGCTGCAGTTCTGGCTTGCTTGAGAGAGCACAACCATCAATGGAAGGCTCTGAGGGTCTTCCATGTCTCTTGCATGCAAGTTGTCACTCAGATTTAGGGTCAGGGCCTCACGCTCCATTTCCCACGTCCCCTCGTGCGCTGCTCTGCTCTGGCTGGCAGGGACTGCTGGGGGCTGGGCCTGTGGGCAGCTGTGACATTGCTACAAGAGCAAATCTGTAGAGATTGAGAGGTCCTTTGGAAATAGAGGAGCTGCGCTTTTATTTTTGTATCTCAGCACAGACATTTGTGACTTGCTGGCCAGATAAGAGCCTGGGAAAAGCGAGTGGACAGCTTGGGCCAGGATGTTTTTCAAAGCAAATGTTGGTCTTCCTAGTGTTTGTGCTGTTCCACCCGCCTGTGAGATCACAGGAGCCTGCAGAGAAGGAAACAATGGAATTTGATATTATCCCCAACATCAAACAGGGTGAAGGGTTCTGTGACCTCTGCGAGTAATTAAAATAAAGCTTCACTGAAAAATGGTCAGCCACTGCTGCAGTTCCTGTTTTACAGGAATTCATGGCATTCCTTTAGGGGTTTGGAGATGAGGCTGAGTTATTCTTTGTGCTGCTCCTCAGGCCTTAAGAGAGCTAAGAAATCAGGTCATCCTCCTCGAGTCACGGTGGAAATAAATTTTTGATTAGATTTGTCAATCAAAGAGCCGTTATACCTCTTTATTATAAAAAACTTTAAAGCACACTTTAAGCTACATAGCAGGGTTTTTTTGTGTTTGAATGATATTAGAAAAGCTTTCTGCATGTTTAATAGCTGCTTGTCAGGTGACTGCTGAGATATCTTTGAATGGAGAGTGAGTGAATGCAGCTGTGCAAATGTAATGCGACAAAAATGCACTTAATTGTGTCTTTTGGCCAATAAAAATGTCTGTTGGTAATTAGTTCTTCCTGTACCAGACCCATTGGCATGTGAGTCTCCTAGTGGGATTCTTGTTATTGTCCTTTCTGGCTCTTGTTCACTGTTGTTCTGAAAAGCGGGCAGAAGTGAAGGCATGAGTAATAGGAAATCCTATGCTCTCACATTTACCAAGGAGAAGAACATTTGTTAAATCAGGCTAGAGCTCTGCAAGCCCCCAGAAAGTAAAAGTTAGTCCTGTGGGAAGTAGAGGGACAGAGATAGGCACAAGGTGGTGTCTAAAAGTGCATAGTATATCATTGAGGTTGGAGAAGGCCACAAAGATCATCAAGTCCAGCCACCGCTCGACTTTGAAGTCCTGTGGCTGTGTGCTGAGAGCTGTGTGTGCAGGTGCTTGTGCTGGGTTTGTGGGGCACGGTGCATGAGCTGGTGTGCAGCTAAGAAATTCTGTGCAGTAAAGTAACTGTAAGGGATTTTTGGGTGTGGGGCAACCATTGACTTTACTGAATGTGAATTTAATAGCCTGAGAGCTGGATAAGACCAGATATCTGAATACTTCATGCCCTATAAATTTAGAAGTTTTCCCTAGAACTTTGTTCTTGTTTGACCGATCAGTCAATTGATCATGCTAGTAGAAGTCACTGGCCAAAGCTGTGAATGAACTGCAAATTAAGGAATACAAGGATCAGAAGCCTGAGGCACTGCTACAGTAACCACACATCATCCAAAGATTAACAGCTTTTGCTTATGGCAATGCAGTGTAGCACTTGATTAAAACATGGGAGTGATGCATCCTTCTGTCCTAAAACACACATCTCGGAGGCCAGGATGGAAGAACAGAAGCTGAAGCTGTACAAATGTGAATACGTGGCAGTTTTGGTTGCCCACACACCCTGGTGCTTTCCCAATATGTTTTTCCTGGATCTTAACTACTGCTTTATCTGATAATATTTCTCTTATTTTTTCCACTTTTTTCCACGTTTCCACAGTTGAATTTTTAAGTCACTGCCTTCCTGTTTGGAGAGGATGCTCTCCAACAGTGATTCAGTCCTGTTAGAAATTTTTTATATCTCATTGACAGGGAGCAGTTCCCAGGATGTCCAATTTGATGCATTCATTAAATGAAATACACTAGAAATTTCCTCTGACAAACAGATCCATTGACCTTCATTTTGCTGAAGATCTTCAGGAATGCTCAGAAGTTGGGGTTATTTTACCAAACTGATAAAATTCCTATTCCTCTGTATACATGATATTGATTGTGCAAGGCAGAAAGTGCAGAGAAGCACATAGGCTCCTGCTGAGTGCTGAACTGTCTGAATTGGAGACTGCCTTTGAACCTCATCTAATGTTCACAGCCTTATGCTGCATACAGGTGTTTTGTGTACGTGACATCTCAGTCCACAGGGAATACTTTGTTAACAAGCACTCAAGGTTAAATTGTTAGAAAGTCAGATGCAATCTTTAAAGCCTTGTAGAATCCAGCACGTGTCACTATTCTGATGTTGTTGGTGTTGTGTTTTTTTAATTTTATTTTCATTTTCATTAGCATTTTTAAAAAGCCTAGGATGGACTTCACCTACTTAGTTTGTATTGGTTGCTTTGCTCTACTAAGGAGAAGAAATCAAAATTATGTCTGTGCCTTCATTTTTCCTGTCCTTGTAGGCCTGTAATATGATCAGCCTAGTTTTAGAGCATCAAAATTTAAGAGACAGAATGACTCAGTGGATTGGATTTGTGTAATGGGATCTGGATAGTTAGCATCTTTGGATTAACAGTTCAGACATCTCAAGCTGTGTGCACCCACGAATCTTCTGAAGTTGGGCATTTGTGAATTAAGTTAATGGTCCCAGAAGTTGCTCTGGAAAGCTCTCGCCCCATTAATGCTCATATCAGCAGTGTTGGGAAAACAGCCAAGGAATGCAGTGGCAGGTTGGAAACTGTCATTTGTGGCTTAAATTCATCCATAACAATGGAGTGATTGAGAAAATACATGATGTCTGCAGAATGGGGAGGCAGAGGGTTTGCACAAATGTCTGACTGTGGTGTATTGTTCATTGCTTTGGACCTTTAAGTGGAGATTCAAGAACGTGTTGAGCAAAATAGGGAGAATAGATAGACTGGGACATAGCCTTTCACCTGGATGTCTTTAAAGTGCAAATACCTGAATGGGAAGGTGTGCAGAGAAAGGGCTGTTCTAGTCTTGTGTCCTTTTATCTCACACAGACACTGCTGCCTTCTGCTGAGGATAGGATACTGTTCCAAATAGACCCCTGGATTGAAGCAGCAAGGAAGATGTTAGTTTCCCTTAGCTACTCATGGCATCAAGTCATCAAGACAATATTATATTGTAATGAGTGAACTAGAGGGAAAATGGCAGTGGTCCACCAACAGGTTGAGTGCTTACAAAGCAGTGCAAAGTATTGATCCCTCATTCCCCTTTTGTTTAGGCAGGTGACAAGCATTATCATCCCAGCTGTGCACGATGCAGCAGGTGCAACCAAATGTTCACAGAAGGAGAAGAAATGTATCTGCAAGGTAAGGATGTCTCTACAACAAAACCATAAAATCAGACTTTGTAATTTCTCTGTCTTAGACCTCGCTGGTTTATAGCTATCCTGTATAATGTGTGCATGGAGGACTGTGGCCTTTTCTTCACTGCAGTGCTCTCATACTTTTTCACTTGAGACTCTTTCACTGTAGGTGTCCATGATGGTGGCCTTGCTGCCTACCTACTCTCCCAGAAGGTAGCACATACACAGTTAAGCTACAATTATTTTTTCTGACTTGCTGTAGTATTAAGAAATGTTGGCAGAAGTAAATCTATGCAGGCCAGAAATGAAAGCGAAAGGACAACTACATATCAGGAATTTGTATATTGTGTTTGCATTAGAAAACTTGCTTGATATACCTGAAAGAACAGTAAAAAAGTAGGAAAGAAATGATTAAAGTGTCTCTTGAAAAACTGGAGAGATTCCTTCTGGAGGAATTCCAAAATAAGATAACATTGTTAAGAAATTCCTTTGAAGCTGACTTGTGTTATTTTATAGCTTGTCCTCCCTTGCAGTCCGTCTTTCTCATCTCTCACTGACCTTGTAAAGAGTCATCTGACTCCAGCTATGCGCGGAATTAGATATATGATTGTATAGCAGTGCTTGCTTGCAAAAGCAAGGAGAAGCTGAAAGAGGGTTGGGTAGGAAGTACTGCTTTCTGATGGCAAATTTGAAAGATTAATTTGAAAACAGCAACTGCAACACCTGACAAGTTTTAATCTTAGTTTCCTCACATCACAGAATGCTAAAGTACAGACAGAGGACATGGTGAGCAGATTAATTCAGAAATTACATTAGTAAGGGCAAGGCATGAACTGGTGTGAACTATTCACTGTGACTGGTCATGCTGTGGTGCAAATTTCTGCAGATTGCAGTAAGACAGAAGGTGTTGCTCCTACTTAAATCAGGCTAGATTGTGTTCCAGCATTACTTAGGTGTTACGTGAGGAGAGATTCCTGGTTCCTTGACCTGCCATCCTTCTCTGCTTGGCTGCATCCTCTCCTGTGGCTGTGCGCTCATGTTCTTCATGCTCACTCTGTATCAGGAGGAGCAGTACAAGTTGCATTGCTTTATTGTATAAAGCTGTTTTCTGACCAAGTGTTATTGCTGGGACTGCCCTTCCAAACCTTTCCTTGCTGGGTTCAGCATACTTTTAAGTATAGGTGACCTAAAAGTCTTTCCTAAGCAAAGCTCTCAGCTGAAATGGATATGCTGACTGTCCAAATTGTTTTCCCTAGGGTGCTGAATAACAGCCTTCCAAGCATTTCTCTGTAATAAAAATACAGCCCCACAACACTGAAGCTAAAACAAAAAGTGCACGATTGATTAAATATATGTAAATATGAAGCTTCCTTCTCATTTCTAATTGCATTCTCTACTGATCATGAAAATGCAATATTGGTATTACTTTGTGTAATAGAGGAGTGTGGTAACTGCTTGTAATAGAAATGTGCAAAGCCAAACCTGCAAGAGGAAAACAGCTTTAGTCAATGTGTAATCGAGTTACTGCTTTTTAGAGAACTGTATGTTCAATCAGTGGTATGTGCAAGGTAAATTGAATAAATGAACATGTTGGTTGATGTTTGCCAAGTAGGCAAACAAACATATGTTAAGAATGAGATTAGCTACAATTTGCTGAATTGTTTCCAGTAGGAAGAAGAGGAGCTGTACAGCTTGGGAATCTGCGCAGTTCCAAACCTTTTAAAATGCTCTGACCCTTTGGATGGTTAAGATCCACAAGCTGTGGTTGGCTCAGAGTTCAGCACTGTAAAATAAAAAAAAAAAAATTAGTTATGTTTATCTTCTTAAGCCCACTCTATCTGATTGGCTTTTAGAATTTCACATTTTAAAAATTTTTTGTGAAAGAAATTTCACAATGGCTAAGTTCCACTGTGAATATGGCATGAGATCTCTCTTGCATTTCTTGTTCCCTTTGTCCAGAGGTATCCCTAAAATTGAGCTAATTTGTGCTGAATGCTGCCTGAAAATACACTGGCAGGTTGTTGGTGGTTTGTTTTGTTTTTTGTTTTGACAATAGAAATGGTTTATTAGAAAAGAAACTGAGGTACAGAAGAACAGGGAACATTTTTCTCAGGGTCACACAACTGAATTTAAGAATTGCACCTAAACCTTCTGGCTGTCACTTCATCAGCCTTATAATGGAACTGGCTTCCTCCTGAGTGCTTGGATGTGTTTAACCCCCTTGCAAACGCACAGCCCATGCTTCTCTCCTGATCTTGTTGGCACTATGGGGTCCTGGCTCGGAAGCTGCTGTTTGTTGACAGAGGAGCTCTCAGTATGTTTCCCCCTGTTGTCCAATCATTCCCTGCTGCCAAATGCACAGTTTCTTCTTCCTCTGCTCAAACTTGAAGCCAGACTTCTCAGACTCTGATCCAGAATCACAGCATTCTCTCCAGCCTTCTGATGATGATGTTCTTGTGTGCTTCTGGGAAATGAACATTCCTGCTGCTCTTCGCTTCTACACTGGGTCATGTAAGGCTTATTAGAGTGAAGTGTCCAGCGCCCCTGATCCATCCCTCCCATTGACTCCAAGGGTGGGGTGTCCTCTGGCTGTACTTGAGATAATATTCACCAGCAGGAGACCAAGGCTGCCCTTTGTTTGGTTTCTTTGTGGACTGAGTGAAAAGGTGAAGTTCCCTCCTGCAGGCAGACAAGGGTCACACAAGGCTTTGTGGCTGCTGGATTGAAGCTGAATTTGGCTACAGCTGCAGTAGTTAAAGTGTTAAAAATCAGCATTAGCTTTTGCTCTGTTTCAGATTGGCTAAAATTCTGCCAGCAGCTTGCCAGCAGTAACCATAATTTACTCTCTGTTCCAAAGAGCTTGATGAGAGTTGGCAGTGCCCCTTCCTAGCCCATGGGCACAGCCAGATATTTACATTTTTATTATGTGAGGAAAAATCCCATGTTTTAGAACACAGACAGTAGAAACATTGCCTCTTTGGGAGGATGTGAAACTGGAACGTGCCATGTGGAAATGCCAGTGCAGCACATGCCACCGACCTTACAGAGCAGGGCGCAGAAGCAATATGTATGCCAGTGCTGCATGCAGTACACTGATTTTGGGAGAGATACCTTCACATAGTTTGTGTCATGTGTCGTTCCGGCTTCATTAGCTTGATGCAGCAGGTGAGATACTGCCCTGACTGCTGTGCTGTGAGTTTTCTATTTTGCTCCTAATAAACATTTCCCATTGCATTCTGTGTAGTTGCAGGAAAGAAGTGATATGAGTAATGTTTTACAGTAACTGAGCACAACTACTGTGCAAGGAAATCACAGGGCTTAAACAGCAGTAGTGGACTTGTAATTTTTACACATGGTGCAGTTCACAAGGGGAATCCAGGTAAGGTTGTCATAGCCCTTGGCCTCCATCCTTACCAGAAGGACCCTCCATCTTCCAGTCCCTTCAGGTGGTGCTGCCTGGCTTTCTTGCTGTTTACAGCTGTTTGAGTTTTAATTAAGAAGCTGTACTAAGTGCTTTGTCAGTTCCAGCAAGAGACTGCTGTGGGTGGACCAGGGATTTGGATTCTTTATTTGTCACTTGTATTTCTCATGAGCTAGGACTGAATCTGAAAGGCTCACACAGATCACACAGATGCACAGTCTGATTCAGTGAAGGGATTCTCTTTTCATACTAAGTTCTAAGTTTCAGACTAAGTTCTCGTGACCAGAAATCATCTGCTTTCCTCTAAATAAGGATTTCTTTTTTTTCTTTTTTTTTTCATTTTTTGTGTCCCCCAGGTTCCACTGTCTGGCATCCCGACTGTAAGCAATCTACTAAGACTGAAGATAAGCTACGGGTAAGCTGAATTTGTGGCAATGACACACTGCATATTTTACACACCTAGCAACTGAACATTGTATATGAAGTGTGATTTTATTTTCATGGTTTTTATAGCATAGCTGTCACCACACTGGCAGAATAACTTTGGCAGCACTTCAAAGATAATGGTGTGGTTTTTAAACTCATCATCTTCAGTTTCAGTGTGTTACCCTAAAGATGATATAATTTACTGATACACAGATATGACATTGCCTCTAAGACAGATCATCATATGTGAGTTATCGTGCAGTGGAATAAAATGTGAACAGGGCAAGAGTTATGATGCATCTTAGTGCTTTTGCACATCTGTATAACTTCTTATCCCTTGTTCTTTGCAGTTATTTACAGCAGTTAGCTCCTTTGCTATTCAAATAAACCACAAACTAAAGAGATCCTAATTGGAATGCCAGGATCACATCAGCATACCAAGAACATTTTGGATCGAATTCTTGATTGGAATAATACTGCACTCATGCATTTTTGTCATACATCAGGCAATTTTAAGCCCATATTCACTAACTTGTCTTCTGGACAGTTTACTCACTTTGATGTCTCAGTTGTGCCTTTGAACTGTTAATTTTTCTGAATATTAGAGACTGGAATATTAGAGACTTCATAGAAGGAAAATGGCTAGAAGGTCTATCAGCCAAGGAAAATGAGAGGTACTGGCATGGAGATAGACAAATTATCCTGAGTTGTGCTCTATCTATGAGTCATTCACAGGAAGCCTAGTCCTTTAAAATTGATTCAGGTCTTTTTCTGTGAGTTCACTAGGAATGTAGGTAATGTACTAATATATTTCTCTTGAGCAGAGTTCATGTTAGCATGGACTGCACTCATAATACAGGAGCAGAACTGGCTGTGGGCGACCATGTGATCTAGCAGGACCAAACATCACTATTGCAATCCACTGTTTGCACGTTATCCTGTTCTGACTTCCAGTGTAATGGTTGACAGCTGCTTTTCTCAGTGACCATCTTATCACAGCGTAAATCAGCTTTAGCTTTATCATTTAAGAACAGAATTACTTTCAGAATAGATGTACAGTCATTGCACTTCCCAAGGAGCAGACAGATAGTTTATGCCTATGCTTAGTAATTGGAAGCCATATAGAGAGCTCCAAAAAAATTGGATTGTTTCCTTATTAATGTTAAGTAATTGCCATAGTACTTTTTATGCTAGTTTGAATTTCCTTCCCCATTTAACAAGTAGAATGTAAGACAGTGCTTTTGCCCAGCAGAAGTGTCAGAATACTTGGCTTTAGCAGTGAATGTTTGGGGAACAGTTTTCTCTTTTGCATGGACCCAAGAGCCTTGTCGAAGCTCCTGACTATAGTGCTGCCCTTATTAACCTTCTCTGAGCTGACCTTATAATTCAGTTGGCTTATTTCCATTTCCCATCGAAACGTGCAAAGGCTTCAAATATTTTCTCCTTTTTCCCATCAGACATTCAAGCATGTGAGTCTTCCTCTCTCTCAGGTAATTTTAATTGAATTCATCCACCTGCAAGATTTTTCCCTAAGAGAGTTTTTCTAGAAAATTTAAGACAAATGAAGTGAAAAAACAATCAAGGGGGAACACAAGAGATGTCACTGCCCAGCTATCCAAGGTCACCTTATTCCTGGAGATCTTCCATGCAGATGTTTAACATGTCTTTAAAGTTGGAAATTCACAGTGCTCAAGCCAGCTGGAGAGACTGAGAATTTTTAGCTTCAACTCTACATTGCAGAGTCTGTACCTATTTTGGTGCTAATTGATTTAAAATCAATTTGCATTCCCTTGACCACTTGAGTTCATTTAGATGACTTTGCCAAGTATTTCTGCTTACTTAGACAAGGTCAATAGCAAACAGGTAGGTACGAAAACAAATGAAACTGGGAAACTGTGCTATTTAAGCACGTCACTTTTCAGTTTATGACCTGTGGCTTGATTTACCTTGAGTTTCTTGACTGCATAATTTTTAGGCCTGATGTGAGTATCAGAATGGGATTTCTCAATTCTCAAATACAAGATACTACATCTTTCAGGGGCAGGCCTTTATTTTTGGGTGGTTCTGCCATTGACAAGGCATCCTTGCTCTGCTGGATTTCCTTTTCCCTGTGGAGCAAAGCAGAACAAAATGCCCTTTTATTGTGGAAGTCATTTTATAAGCTTTCAGCCAGTTCTGTTTTCTCTCAGTAACTGAATTGCGATATAAACTAATCAGCATTTTAGCTGGTCAGACTGAGTTCAGAAAAATGATGGTTGAGTAAGGTTTTCCTCCCACTGGATTTTCTGTAGAGGTTTTTTAAGTAAAAACAAGTAGAGGGTAAAGCTGTTTGTACGCAACTAGAATGCATTGCTTAGGTTCAGCTATCTGCTTGTTCGTGATTCTACAGGGATCAGCAAGTAACGGATACTATAGCACACAGATTGTTATCTAGCAAGTAGTTATTTGTAAGTTGTCACTTGACTGAAAAAGAGCTTAACCAATGGGCTGGGGAACTGCTTTCCTTTTCACTCTTCTTTTTCCTTTTTTCTGTTTCATGGCAGCATTCCTCATCTGAGTTCTTTTATCCAAAGAGTCTGGTTCTGCGCAGACCACGCTCTGCAGAGGTTTGCTGTTGTGTTTTCAGTGTTGATAATGGTCTTCTTTACTGAGAAGATTCTTTATCATTGTCACTTGCTGTGCTTGCCACTATTTCTGCCACACAGCTTTCCTATCACTTGCCACCCTGGGCACTGACTGTATTTTGCATCATGTAGTGCAGTGTTTGTTAATTCTCATGTTTTAAATTTTGTTTAATGGAGTGCTTCATTTCTGCTATTGGACGTTTTTCTTCTGAAACAAAAAATAAGAGTGCAAATGTGAAACATAAGAAAATGATAAAAAGCATCTGAATTTGAAGGGATGGTTAAGTGTAGTAACAATAGTTATTGTTGTAACAACAGTTACCATTGTTACTATATGAACAATAGCTTGTGCTTTTTAGGAAAAAGGAATTGCTATCAGTTGCATCAATTTTGATTTTATAATCGCTGACCATCTACAGATGAAAACTTCAGTTGAGAAAATATTTGCAAGATGCAGGATTTGAACATGTCATGTACACTGCTCAATAGCATCTGCCTGTCCGTAGGCAGCAGAACATCCAATTTGATGTTAAGGGGTCCTCCCTGTCCTCTTGATTCTGAATCACCTTTCCACTTTGAAACTTCCACGAGGGTCTCTGCACTTGAGAACACCACCTAATTCCATTTCTTCTCCTTTGCAGCAGTGCTTATGTATTAATTTCTAATTAAGGTAGACTTTCTCGTTCTGTAGACTGTAGCATTGAAGCAGCTTAGGGTCAGATTATATCTTCTTGTGTAAATGTACTCAATATTTAATTCTGTTTAGATGTACATGCTGATTATATGAAGTGTAATTCAAAGCAGGTTTTGACTTCATGTGCTCTTCTGCAGGGTAAAGATGCTATCATTGCTGTTGCTGTTAAGATGGGCCAAGGACATTAATCTACATGAAAACTTCAGATTTTAATTTTACCTGTTTTGCTTGATGCAAAACCCTTTTGCATGCAGTAAGGGAGAGCATGTCTGAGATAGTTGGATCATTAGGAAGGTGCATGCTTCAGGAATTCTGTAGGTACCAAACAGCTAGTGGGAAATAAATTACAAAACCTTATCCAGAAGCAAGAATACATGATAATCTCTTAGATCTATGACCACCCTTAAAACTGAAGGCAGGAAGAAATGTTGAGCCTCAGGTGAGCCGGCTGCCTAGTGAGTTCCATTTTGAACTGTGTCTTATTGCTAACATGGTGGCACGTTACTCTTCTGGCAAGACAGGAGAGGTGTCTGTGTACTGCAGATCTTCATCATATGATAACCTTGCTGATGGCTCTTTGGATGGTGTGTGTAACCTGGAGAAGACAATCCTCAGTGTCTTATTCAAATGGAACTTTACGCACCTTTAGTGTCAATTTGATGCAGTGATTACACATCAGGCACTTAGGACTGCCAGCCCAAGAAAAGTTCTGAGCTGCCAAACTAGAGTACTGGAGGTGCTGCTGAAATGAGGGGAAGGCAGGCATTTAACTAGGAGTTTGATGCCAAAGGCAATGCCAGAAAGAAAACAAAAGAGCCTTGTGGAATATAAATGAAATACACACTTCATGTGCAATAATTGCTGCTTTTTGCCATGAACAGCTATTTATGGACTGAGGCTCATATTTACAGGTGTTAATTGTTTGCTGAATGTAAGCAGAAACACGGGAAATTTCAATAACTTAACTATGAGGAAAAATGTCTTAAGATGAAAAATGACTTCAGTGTTTTTAAAGTCATACTTGCTACCTATCTCAAAAAATCTTACTATTTGATATCAAAGTATCTTATTATTTAAGATTTTTTGAGGAAGAAAACCAAGAATGAGTGAAATCTTGTGAATTCTGTGAGGAGTTTGGCCCCGAATTCACTGTTATGTATTTCTCACTTCATTTTTTCTGCCTTTCACTTAATTTACTTTCTATGAAAGACTGTATTTGGTAGCAGTGTGACTTCAGTGACTGTGCTGAAAATACCTTTTCCTTTTCAGCTTTTTTGTCTAGAAAGGAAAGAAAAAGTTTTTTGTAATTGATTAAAATGCATCTGTGTGAGTTTGAACTAAACCTGTTCCTTACTTTTGTCTTTATGCACACACGTGAATTTTTAAGGGAGGGAAATAATGACAGGCTCTGTGCATTTGAAGGTAACACACTTGTCAGGAGTTACACTGGCAGACAGGCACAATGAATGCTGTAGCACTGAAGTATTTTCTTGGTCTTGTACACTGCCACTGAACATTACTGAAATCCATGGGAAACCAGCCTATAATGAGCTCTGGTTCCACAAGCTGAGTTACTCCTGTAAAACCATGTAGTTGATGAAGCAGATACTCACATTAGTGCTGTACTGGGACTGTCAGATTCGTTGCTGTTGCAAAGTTGTGCCTGCCAAGTAGAGTAAGTTACACACTGAACTTCTTTTGTTTACAGATATACCTTACAGTAACTTCTGGGATTTAGAGAACTTGTTTAAACTGTAATGTTCAATGTTGTTAAGTGAAATCGTATTCGTTCTTCTGCAGCTATTATCACCGCCTTGCATAATGAACTCTATCAAAAAACTAAGGCAGGTACTGTAGACAACGCTGACGATGCCTTTGTTAAACAACAGTGCATCTGTTTGGCCAGATGTTCTCGGGATCAGATTTGATCTGTTTGCCTGCACTTGGAAGTTTTAATAGTGCATGATTCTGAACATCTGTACTTTCAAAAGCCACAGCCACCACATTGCAGCGTAACTGGATGATGTGAATGGCTCCAGCATAGATGCTTTTATTTTAAAAACTCACTTGTTTAGATGATGCGCCATGCATGATAACATGACAGACTGAGATAAACGCAGATGAACGTGTCAAGCTTTGCAATCTAATGTTGAAGTAATGAGTTAATGGATTTGGAGCGTGTGCATGGGTGATACTGTAACTGAGTGCTAAAATTCACAGTGAGCCTAATAGGATGAGCATTGGGAGCATGAGAGTTGGGGTTGCCTTTGACAGTCTGGAAATGAAGTTGGTAAAGAACTTTTGGATCGAAGACAAATGCATGAAATGAAGAACAAAACCACTGAAATAAGAGGTCTGTGATAAAACAAAGAATACGGAGAAGTCTCACAGATGTTTTAGATCCTTTGTGCAGTGGGGTCTTGGTTGATACATTTGAATTTCAATTGATTGAATTCCTATTGCTTTTTTTCATGTACATTCATATACTTCCTATATGTGCTACAGACATCCCATGTTAACTTATACACACTGGCGTTACGTGCTTTTGGGTTGAGGAGGAAATTAAAAATAAATGACTTACATGGTCAAAAAATGTGAAGAAAGGCTACAAAGTACAAGAAAAAAAAATAGTTATAGCACTTAATAAAAGTTTTCTTCAAATTCCTGTGATCAAAGGTGTCATTACACAAAGCTGTATTTGAATCCCTAGCAAAAAAGCAGTCATGTAAAGAAGGCACCAGGTGTGCTTGCAGAAATAAGATGACTTAAGTTGCAGGATGTGCAGACCTGGTGTCCCAGGCCTGTTGGGTTGGACTGAAACATCTGAAGGAATGCATTCCTATTAAAGGAGGTTTCCTCTCATTTCCTTACCTGTTATCTTCCAGTAATATGTGCGTGAGATGCTCGTGTGGTATCTCCAATGAGGCTAAAGGTTGAATCAAGGTTTGCCACAGTTCCAGTTTTAACATGTGCTCTGATCAGCTCTCCTCAATTTTCTTTAGGGGAAGGTGCGGATCTGTGAAGGCTCCCAGACCATGTGGGAAGCAGCAGAGTAGGAAATAGCTATCTGCAGTGGAAACAGACTGCCTTATTCAAATAAACAAGTGAGGCAGGTGTAGAAGTCCTCTTTCATGTGCTGCTTTTGGAATTATATTGTAAAATCAAGCAAGATTTTGTTCTAGGAGGCAATAGAGGGAGCAAACCCTGCTTGGATTCACTTGGTCAGGTGGTGTCTGGGAGGGTGGGATCCTGCCCTGCAATAAGTAGATGGGAGGTTAAATTAATGTACACAGGAAGTTAGGGAAAACTGGTTTTGATGAGTGTCATGCCTGGCTCATGGCCATGATGATGGCGTGGTGCAGAGGAGCTGAAGGGCAGGTGCTATGACTTGCCAGTCCACCTGACAACCTCTCTTATTTTGGGAAAGAACATCTAAGAAATACAGTAGCAAGGTGTGGCTTCATACCGTGTCTGACTCTGTTCAGTGCAGTCATTGATGTGACAAGCACGGGAATTTTTCTTTGCAGAAGAAGCTTTTAGCAGTTGCATTAAGAAGTGAGGCTCAGGGCTGGAGCAAGAACTGAAAAATTCTTATTTTTTGAAGTGATTACAAAGAACCGGAGAGAAGTGCATCCCAGAGGGTTTGCCGGTTGAGAAGCTGGAGCTGGCTCCTGTGTTTGTTTTCCTACAAGAGGGAAAATTAATCAGACAAAACTCCTGAAGTACGTCTGCCAAAAGTGAAAGGTGACAGACACCCCTCACAGAACCTCATGTCTGTAGCTGTGTTCCTTGTGTTGCAATGAAAACAATTGCTTTCCATAGCAACTGCAGCAACATGTTACACGTGTCTCTGCTCAGCAGTGTAAGAAGGCAGAGCAAAAGGGAATGAAGTGTTTCACAACAGCAGCCAACTTCAGTCTTGTAACATTTCCATAAAACAAGTGGATTGTTTGTTGTTGGTTTGGGTTTTCTTTGATTGCATCATGGGAGGAGCCAAAGGGCAGCTGAGAAATTTCTGCGCTCCCTTTTGGGATTTAGGAATTTGCAACTACAGAGGAAAAAGGAAAGAAACATACAGAGGTCCAACTGAGAAGGCATTCTCAGACATGCTCCAGAGGGGATTGGTGGCTATGTCATTCCATGGCCACATCTGTTGCCTGTTTGATCTGGATCTTCACGTTTTTTGATGGAATGTGTTCAAAGCCCTTTATTCCTTTGACTATCCCTGCTTATGATGATTTCATTTCCACAAATGAAGTCAGAGAAATCCAATTTTATGTAGTCTTCAGCATTTTTTTTAGGATGAGTCCAGTGGTTTTCCTGGGGATGTAAGTAAAAGTAGAAAGACTCAGCACTGGAGAATTTGATCAGGAAGTGCATGCTGAGGGATGAGAAAGCTCCAGTAACCTCGTTGTGTTCAGTCCCAGCATTTACTAAGAAAAATCACTAAGCCAAGCTGCTAAGCCTTCCTTCTCTTCAATCAGTGACCAAAAGGTCCCTTAGTTCAGTGTCACAGTTGGCAAGATTTAATTTTCAGTATCTTCATCGTATCCCACTGCAGTGGCGTCATCAGAATCATCTACTGATGCATTGCTTTATGAGAGGAGTTGATTCTTTGCAAGAATTGTTTATTGCTCCACAAGTGGAAGTGGGACGTGTTTGGTTAACTTTGTGTGCCTGCTGCATGCTGAATGTGTGAGTTCTTGCCCCATTTTAATTAAATGGTTTTCAAATTCATAAATTTTTCAGGATTCCCATATCTCGGTGCTAAGATGCTCTTGTAAAATTTCCCCAAGGGAGCCAGTGTCTGTTTAATACTGAAGAAATGCTGAAAAATCCACTAAATATACAACAACTCTCACTCTGTAGGGGTGTGACTGTTCTGAATTTCAGTTTCCAGGATGTTGTCGTTAAACATCAGGAGTTTACAATGCAGGGAGTTAAGACATTTCAAGGAACATTTTAGCTCTAAGGTTGCATCTGAGTCGTACTGCAGATGTAAGGGAACTGCCTCAAGGATTTCGGGTCCTTCCATTGAAAAAGGCTGATTTCAATTCTGTATTCATAATGGAAATCCAGTGACTGAACATCTGGAATGCAGTAACGTGTGTGCTGTGCTCTTCTCAGTAATTTTGGCTGCTGAACCACTGGCTGCTGATCTCTTGCTGTTTGTGAATTAACATTTTGATAAAATGACCGTCCTGAACTGTATGGTGTGTGGCTCCTTGCAGTGAGTTTGACAGGTGTCATTTAGACTTGTTCATTATTGCTGTCAGTCTTTCACACTATGATTTAGAAAACCTCCTTCACCTCTCACAGCACTCCTCCTCCTGCAGAAAAAGAGAGTCCACTTGCCTTGTGAGACTGTGGAATTTGCCAGAATGCTTGATCTTGTGTTGATGTTTTTTTTTCTAAATACAGTCAATTTCAATGTGTGAATTTCTCCACTTGTATCCAGAGTAACCAAACGTTAATTGCTTTAGATGGCTCTGAAAAGTTGCTGTTTGTTTTTCAGCCTACCAGAACATCATCAGAAAGCATTTATTCCAGGCCAGGTTCCAGTATACCTGGCTCACCGGGCCACACTATCTATGTAAGTATTCCTTCTGATGAATAAGCTGCTGAGCCCTTGCTTGGACATGAAATACTCCATGCTGAAATAAATCATTTTATGCTGATGCTATTGCCTTCATCCTAGTGGTTAAATTGTTAAAATTCTCATTGCCACGTAATTCTTATTACTACAGAATTTCAAGAGCAGGGCAGAGCTTCTTCAGGCCAAGCAAACATTTAGCAGATCTTCTGAAATCACTGGATGATGTGAAGAGGGACAGAAGACAGATCAGTTGACTTTGTTAGATGTGTTATCTTTGCACTTCAGTATGCAGTTCTTGAGAGGTCTGCTATCAGCAGCTATAGAACATGGGTGAAGGGTCAGGCACACTGAAGGAAGCCTGGCTGATCCCACATTTTTAGAAGTTAGATTTGGCTATGAAAGGAAAAGAAGGGGGGAAGGAAAGGATTTAAAACAAAAAAGGATATTAAGCATCCTACTGTTATTAGACTAACAGTGCTGACAGTGCAAAGCTATTGATAAACTGTTTTATGTGTAGTTAATTGAGATATAGGTTCCTTCAGTAATCAAATTACCTCTTTCATAGAATCTTAGAATTATTAAGTTTGGAAAACAGCTTTTTCTTTTCTTGCTACCTTTTGAACCTATGTAATTTAAGAGATGACAGAAATGCATCAGCAGAATGTTTGCTTCAAAATTCTGAAGCAATAATTATTTTCTGCTCACACTACTTTTTCAAGCATTTCAGTGTTGTCAGTGCCCATTTTTCTTGGTACAGAATTCTGTAGGGTAAAAAAAAAAAGTCATCTATTAATTCTGTTCTAAAGAGTATGGAATCAAGTGTAATTGAGTGAATAACTACTGCTCAGCCTTGCCAATTTTGCTATATTTGCACACGTATAACCTACACTTCTAAGAACTCACAGCCATTTAAAAGCCCTGTTTCTTGAAAGTCTGTGTAATCTTTCTCAGCATGTAAAACATGCTCCAGACAACCTGCACAAGATCCAAGGGAGAAGTAGAAGCTAAGGAAGAAAATGTCAAGAAAGCAAGTTAGAGTCCATTCTGGGGGGATCAAAGACAAAGATTTGTTTGGAAAAGGAAGACTGCAGGGCAAATGTTCTTCTGTGTTACTTGTATTTCATATTGAATTGCTGAATTTGTAGATAATACTAAGATTGTACAGGTGAAAACATAAGGCATACAGATTTACCAGGTACACGTATAATAATGCAGAAAAAATACCAACTATACCAAATATTATAAATCTCAAGTTCTGAGCTTGGGTTGAATGTTAGTTCATCAGTGCATTTGAACAGCAGTCAAAAAACAGCTACTGTGATAAAAATGTTCACACTTACAGATGTCAAACCACAGAGCATACCGTGCTGGTAATATCACCTGCATAAACTTTAGCTTAGGAAACCTCACCTGTTGCTGAACAGTGGACTCTGTGTGGCAACCAGCATGTTGGCCTACATTCAGATCTGTGAAAATGTGTGGTAATTTACACTGGAATAAAATATTCATACATTAACAGCTCATTAACGGATTGTCATAAAAAAAATTATAAATTCATAAAGCTGCTTATATTAAGGGTTAAATTGGCTAAAGATACTCTGTTATATCTGGTGAGTCAAAACTAAACAGATTTTGTGCTATTTTTAGAAAGTGGATTTGCTAACAATCTCAGTCCTTGCTTGTCTGATTTGTGGCATCACGTAAGAATCACCATGAGTGGTTGTTAGGAGAGCTTGGGAAGGTAAATGCACTTAAAGATACTAGGTGCTGATACTAGAACAGAGTGGAAGGTGAGTAGAAACAGATCAGCCTTATTGCTTGTACAGCTTGCTATGTGTAACTAAAGTAGCTAGTAGAAGAGTGAAGGTGAAAAGCAGTTTGAATATCTCCTTTTGGCTTTAAAAATAAAATGAATTTCTATAGTGTAGGTAAGGATTTACGATGATTTTTTTCAGCAAGTCTTTTTTTAAGTAAGGAAAGATATTAGCTACATAAGTGGTAGGTAAGACCTCTTTCCTGCTTCTTCTGAAGGGTGCAGCTGTCTTTTTGGAACTGATTTCCTACTTTCAGTTCTAAACTAATTGAGAGTTCTTTGCAGCTCTAATGAAAGAAGAGTCTATGTTAGTATTATATATTATCCTAGTATTAATTAACATACACTTTAGTTAGAATCTTGCATACAGATTGAGTGATGAATGCAATATACTAATTTCAGTTGGGAGGGAGTTTGATGCATAGCCCTGACCAGTCCTGCTTGCCTTGTTATTTCCTTGTAACAAGTTGTATTTCCTTTTGTGTGCAAAGTTAGAGGTTGACATTCTCTCTGTATCTCCTGCATGGAATCCTCTCATAATCTCTGTAATCAGCAGACTTAGTTGATAATATCACACGTATTACAGATGGAAAAATAAGAACAGAGGTGAAATGACTTGCCTTAGGACACAAAATGAGTCATTTATAGAGCTGAAGTTTCCAGCTCAGTGCAGTTGATAGGGAACTTTTTTGTTGCATCTGTATATGCAGTGTTCTTTCTTTCCTAAACTCAGAAAACACTGTGTGCTCTTGGAGAGGAGGCCCACTTGGAGAAGAACAAGAAGCAGTCATTTTATGTTTGGAGTGCCAAAAAGGGTTTTCCATAGCAACAGTGTGATAACAAATACACAGAATCATAAATTGTGTAAAATAGAAATTGCCAGTGCATTTGTGTAAGTTAATTTGTGTTCTGTCTTTGACCTTCAGGCAAAAGTAGACAATGAGATCCTTGATTACAAGGATTTAGCAGCCATTCCCAAAGTCAAGGCCATTTATGACATTGAACGTCCAGACCTAATTACTTATGAGCCATTCTACACTTCCGCCTACGAGGACAGACAGGAGAGACAGAGTCTTGGAGAGGTAATGAACTGACAAGCAACCCATTCTGCTATAAGCTTTACTCAAAGCCTGCTACGCTTCTATCCTCTTCTGAAATAATTCCTAATTAACACTCTTTAGTATTGTTGCTGCTGCTGTTCAAAGTGCTTTTTGTCTGTTTGATCTGGATTAAATGGGAACAGTCATGATGATGCCTTATGTGGGGAAACTGCATAGTTAAACACACAGGTCTGCTTTTTGTCTGCATTAACACCAGCTGCTGGCAGAGGAATGGGGAACAGGTTGCAGGCTGTGTGTCTTCATAATTTGAAAGAGTGTTCTGGTCTTTGGGTCCAGAACACGGGGCAAATGCCAGCCTAGCAGTGTGCCATGTAGCAGGCACATTGCTGTAGAGCACAAGTGCTCACAACAGAATATGAGGAATTACCATGATGTTCTGTGGCAGTAAAAGGGTTCAAAACAGCAAGACACATTCTCTCAGATTGAATGGAAATATATTTATTTCTGGAGCACACTGCTATATATGTAAGATAGAATCTGAAGTAAGTTGAGATTAAGTGCTCTTCCAACTGGAAACAGCAGGTGAGTTGCAGTGTGGAAATAGGTGCCTCACTTTTTAAACTGCTGACATTTAGTAAAGAATTCAACAAGAGAAGCAGCCATCTAATTTATTTGCTTAAACTTGTATTTAAAGGCAGCTTTCAGGCTGTAGGGTTCCCTGTTTCTCAGGTGAACTTCCGTAACTGCAGTTACTGTTTAGGTGGTTCCTAAACAGTGCAGGTCATGAAGTAGGTTTTATAAAGTGGTACCAGGTAGCTGTAAATCTGACTTCCAGAATGCAAATCTAAGTGGGCATAAACGTGGATTCATTTTACAGTCTTGGTGAATTGAGCATGAAGATAAGCTGAGGAAAAAGGAACTACAGTAGATCATTCAGGCAGTGGTCTGAAGTGACTGACAGTATTCTCTCAGCAACATATACTACCACCAGCAGGTCAGATTTACAGCAGGTTTTGTACTTTGTTCTTTAATACTTCATAGGGCTAATATTTTAACTTAGAGTTATAAATAAATAAATATGAGGAAATTCAAGAGAGAGTTCAGCTCACGAGCGAAATAAGAGATTAAGAGATCAAATTACAGAATTTCTCCCTCCAGTTCAGGTTGGCAATAGGTCCAGCTGACGTCTGATTCACATCCACTGAGCTGCACTGGTGATCTCTGCCCGGTTGCAACAGGTCTCAGCCATTCCACAGAACCAGCTACAAACCAGTCTCTTGTTACTCACGGAGGAGGAACTGATCTCACCCAGAGGAACTATTTGTTAATCCTTGAGGGGATGCTGCTCGCTGATAAAGCCATATATTGGAAATTGCCATTATGCTTATTCTGGGGAAGAGCAAAAGCCTTTGGAGTTTTCTTACGCTGTGTTATCACCAGCATTAAATCTTATCAATTTCTGGTGACTACAGAAATTTCCAGAAATGAAAGGGTTCTCATCTTCCTTTCAGGAGAGCTGGGCTCTCTGCCTCATGCTACCAGTGACTGCTGTGACCTTGGGCAATTCACCTCGCCTCTTTGTACCTCTGTGTCCTCCCTTTCCTTTCCTTAATGAAAGCAGAAGTCCATCAGGGTGGAGTGATCCCTGTGTCTGTGTTGTCATAAATGAGTGATGCTTTAATCTTGGTATGTCATACATCAGTCACCATCATCTTTAAAAAGCAAAGGAGGTGACGTGGTTAGGCATGGCTAGCATTTACAGACTTTGAGTGAGTTAGCCTGCAGTTTGGAAAGTGTGTATATGTGATGGTCTTAAAGAAACTGTGAGCCTGAGCTTAAAATCATACCCTAGAAATGCCTTTCACCACGATTGAAAAAAAAAACAACCAACACCAAAGCCAGGTAAGAAAGATTTACTCAGTGGTGCAGACAAACCTTAAATGCAGGGACTGAGCTACAAGAAAACTCTGTACTTCAGATACAGAAAGTGACAAAACATTTTCTTCTTCATTGCAATGAAAGGGAAATGCATTAGAAAGTTTCTCACCGATAGTCACTCATGTTCAATTAACTACCAGTCTTGTTGTTCTGGAAGCCCGTGATGAGAAACGTTTTCACATAGCACCATCTAGTGGGAGCTGGATATTTTAGCTAAAAATCTTGTTCTGTAATAGTTGTGGTCTTATCTGAGAGCATAATCTCTTGCCAGGCTTATTATGGCAATTAAATAATATTGAAATGTAATGCATAAAAATAAATATTTTCAATCCTGATCTTCCAGCTTCTAATTGTCTTATGATAAATGACACATAGCTGGTAACTGCACATAGCCTTTGTAGTTGTTTGTACCACCAAGAGATGCATGGTTAAGTTGGTTTCTAAAGATATGTCTTGCCTTGGTTTCCCTATCTGTAATAGAAGCTGTTAGTAAGTATTGTGCACGTTTATGACCTCTGGCTTTTGCATGATTCCTTCAGTATACATGCTTGTAATTCCTGCTGGTTCTCTGTGCGTAACTGTGGGTGAGCACAAAGCTAATTTAGAGAGAGATCATATCAAAGAAATGATGGCGTCTTTGTATTGCTTTGCACTGGGGATGAAAAATAAAGCCTTGAGGAAAAAGCAGATTTTTGCCAGACTCTGTGTACTGAAGGAAAAATGTGCTTCATCTTGGAAGTTGTTCTGTATTTCTGATGCCATGCAAAGCTTTGAGTTAAAATTATTTACTTTTGATTTCCACTTTAAAGAGTTCTTCGTAACAGGCATGCTTATTAAATTAACAATCCTTTCTGATTTTGATCTCTACAGCTATGTTTTAATTACCACAATCATTAGATGGCTGAGAGATGCCATGGCATGATAGCTGGCTAAATTAATCACGCTTATAGATTCTCCCAGAAACTTTAAGCGCGTCAGTGATTTATGGACCAGTTCCTGAGCAATGTGGAAAAAGCAAGTTGCAGCATTACGGTGGCCTCAGTAATGCCTACAGTGCTGTATTGTACTGCTCTATAATATCCTTCTACCTGCAGCAGTGTTTGGGTTGCCATTTTCTAGCCCAAGACATGCAGTGATGATTCTGTAACCTTACTTTCTTATGTCTTTGCAGTCTCCACGGACATTATCACCTACCCCTTCAGCAGAAGTAAGTGTGGTGAAACCTCATCTTAAAATGACTAGGATTACTCACTTCAGTGATTGCTTTTGATTGATTTTGTTACTGGCCTGATCTGATCTGTCTTTTTTTTTTTTTTTTTGGGGGGGGGGGGGGGGGAAGGGGCGGAGGGAGCACATAGAAATGGTTTTTGATCACTTAAAAGGAGAACATTAAGTCCTCACTGACAAATTATACAAAAATGAATCTGGTGCCCCTCCCCAATTGTTGTCTGTAACACAGGGCCATTTGTCCAGCAGAGGTCACTTCCTTCCACACATCCTTCTGGTGACACCCACAGGGTCTCAGATGGATGACTTGCATTACCTAAAACACTGCTCTAAGAATTTAAATAATTTTTGAAAACTACGTTTGCTGCTAAGACAGTTGTAGTTTTACCTTGAAGAAAACATAGCTATGGTTTGGTTTGCTTTGGTTTTGTTTTGACCTTGGAACTATTTTAAGCATTACAGGAATATTATATATCAGGACAGTCATGTGTCAGAATACTGTAGATGTATACATACCATTGCATGTGTTATCATTTTGGGATGGGGAAGTATTGCTTGTTTCAATATAAAAGTCACAGTGATTGCTACATGTTAAAAAAAAAAAAAAAAAGGCTTTAAAATTTGTTGTAATTCTTCATGCATTCAAATTGCTCCCATCTCTTTTGTCCTGCTTTGGTTTGCTTTGTGTGTGCTTTCTCATTTTGTTTGGCTTGGGTTTGTCTTCCAGGAAACTGAGAAAGTTAGGCTTCACTGTACAAGAAGGGGTCTTGTTTTCAGAGGGGAGGGCATGGGGCAGATCTAATTTGGATACTTCTGCCCCTTGTTGTAGCTAGTTGAGACAAATGGTAAGTGAAGCCATGGATAGCTCTGTGCTGCAGCTGTTCAATTCTTGCTGGTTTCCAGCTGATCTAGTTGATGACTAGCTGATGTATCTTGTGCCATGTGCTGCAGGACAAGGATGCTCTGAATGCAACTTCCCTTATGGAGCCATAGGAACATGGGGAACCTGGGATCACAGAAAGTGTGATAGAAATTACCCTGAGTGACACGTAGAGTTGGAACCTTTCAAGACTGATCACAGACACTGGCTGTGAAAATGGATGAGAGTCTTTGGAGCAGATACTTAGATAACAGTAATAATGAAATGGGTTGAAAGTTTGAGGAACGTATTTTTTCAGTATCTTCTGTAGATGTTTTCGGATCCATGAAAGTTGAGCATGGCTTAGAAAAACGTATGATGTGCATTTATATTCTGTAATGAATTCCGTTTTAATTGCTTCTGTTCTGCAGGGTTATCAAGATGTTCGGGATCGCATGATTCACAGGTCTACTAGTCAGGGCTCTATTAATTCTCCAGTGTACAGTCGCCATAGCTACACGCCCACCATGTCACGCTCCCCCCAGCATTTCCACAGACCTGGTAAGGGCAACTGCATTGGAAGTATTTGTAAAAGCAGTGTTTATTGTGTCGCTTAGTGGCACAGAGAAGCACTTGTTTCTCTTAGCAGCTGATTGAAAAGTTGTTGCATATTTTAGTATCTCCTTTTCTACCTGTTTTTTTGTTCTTGATTGGTGCAGTGTGTTCTGCCCTACGTTGATGTGTCTTATGTCATAAGTACTGATCTTCTGCTTTTGTTTCTGATTATTTTTCAAATGTATGTAAGTTTGTGAAAGCAAGCAACTATTTACAGTAACAAATCACAAACTTCATTCTGGAATTTGGGAAAAGCAACCATATTTTGGAAACAAAAGTTCCGACTTGACTGGACAGCAGCCTCTCGTGCAGGATTCTTCCTTTGAAAAAAAATTATTCAGTTGAAGCTTGGTGCACCCATGAAATGTCAGATGGAACAGCAAATAACCCAGATATTCCAAATAACATCATTTTCCTAAACATAGACTCGTAGTGTGCACGACAGATTTCTTATTTAAAATCGTAGACAATAGCAAAGCACATTTGAAAATGCTATTTTTAGTGATTTAGCAGTGATGTGCAAGTTCTGTGTATAATATAATAAACATTCAGGTCAGTTTCCAAGTGCATTCATATTTCTGATTGTGGATGTGAAAGCAATACATGAAACTGAAGTGTTCATCCACACCCAAACTGCATAAAAGTGTATCTCTAAATGCAATTAACTGAGTACTTTTCAAGACTAATTTACTTTTAATGCTAACAAATTAAATCTTTGTGACCTGTTTTTAAGTTAAGTGATGCAGTCATGCAATTCCATCTTCCTTGATGATTGCAGATGAACACTTGGCCTGCCAAAAGCCCATACATAATAGGAGCTGCATTTTTAAAATTAAAGATTTATTATAGAGCCATCACTGCAGAACATGAGAGCAGCAGCCATTTCCAAGTGGGGGTGGGCTGAAAGCAGCTAATTGTGTCTGTCAGTGAATGCCTTATTTAAAGCACTCAAGGGAGGTGGGACAGAAGCAAATTGTGTCTGATACTATGTGCTGAACAACATGATTGTGTTTTAAAATGACATTACAGCTAAAAGTGAAAGACGTTTATAAAGCGTGAAAAAGCTGCAAACTTCTGTCTCTTGATTCTGGCACTTCCAAGGGGATTTTTCCATCTCTGTCGTATCAGAGACAGTTAAGAATCCAGACCTCATTCCAGACTTTACTGTGATTGAATTTCACTGTCTGTTCAGTCAGAAGGGTCCAAATGTAAAATGTTCAAAATTTCAGTCTGGGGGATGTTCTGAGGATATTTTTGTTCAAGCTGATCTCTGCTCAGGTGATCTCATCTGTGGGTCACCTGCTTCTGTTTCTCCTATGATACAGACAACATCTGTAGAATTGGTTGTTTTGATCTTTGCAACCCCGCTTTGGGGTAATTATTAATATTAATTTATAGTCTTCCTACAGTGTCATTCGTGTTGAATAATAACGTGTGTATATTTTTCTCCTAATGGTACCTTTGGTTATTTGCAAGAGTAATTTCTCTCAGAATAAGCTCAGTGGCCTCAGAGAACTCCTGGCTTCCAGCTGCTCTTGAGAGAGAAGTGAAGCACTGTGTTGACGTTGTCAGCATCACGTTCTTCAAAATTGGAATGCTTCATGTTTTGAAAAAGTTTGCAGCCTTTTCGTACCCTGATGTCATATCTGACGTTGGCAGCATTTTTGGAATGATTTAAAACAATAGAAGGCAGCTTGCATGCCTCTTGACTGATGGTTTTTTTGGTTAGGCACTTTGCAAGACAGCTGCTTTCTTAGCTAACTGAGCATCAATGTTTGTGATGTTTGCATGATGGTAGCAGGCTACTTTCTGGTAACAAGGCATATATCATAAGCTCATTAGGCTAGTAAATAGTATGCTGAATCAGCAATGCAGTTCAAATCTGAGCATCTTTTCAACCACTTGCTGTAATTTTGTCTAAGATTTATGAAACCTTCGGTACGTCTTTTAACCTTTTTTTTTTTTCCTCCTTCCTCCTTTTCAGAACCCTAATTGTGTAATGCCTTTTTTTTTCTTCCTTTGAAGCCTCCTTCCCTGCCTTTCTCTTATTGTTTTTCTTTGTTTTCATTTTGTTCTGCCCCCCGATTCCCTGCTGCTGCAGAGCTGCTCTCTACTGGTGTGCAGCGGTTGTCATACCTGCGCACTAGCAGTCTCAGCTCCGCTCACCATGACTCCCGCCCCAACTCCCCCTTCCGACACCACTTCATCCCCCATGTCAAAGGTAAGGAGCCAGGCCTCTCCAGGGAGTACCCTCCAGGCTGGAGATTTATTAGCATTCTGTCAGAGCTAGTAAGGTGCATCTCTGTAAGGTTATCATTGGCTGTAGAGCTGAGCATGCCTCGAAATGTGCCGTTACACTTAGAATTGTTAGAATAGACATAATGTCCTTTCATGAAGGATGTATGTCATTTCTAAGGGCCCTAGCTGAAGAGACTTCAAGCAAATTCCCGACTAGAAATGCAGAGGGAAGCATTATCACAGTCAGTTTAGATCCTAATTTAGCCTCTTTTTAATTGGTATATGCAATGTCTAAAGCAGAAAGCATATCAAATTAAATATTATTTCCACACTCTTAAAATGTGCGTTTAAAAATGCACTACAGATACTACCTGTATGAAATCAAGGTGATCAAAAAATATGAAGAAAAATCGTGTTACATAAAGATCAGTAGCAATGAGGAAATTAATCATTCTCAGTTTTGTTGGCAGTAACAAGTGCCCAACAAATAAAATTAAAATCTTTAGGCCTCTCCTCAACTAGTGAGAATCAGCAAACTCTGCTGAAGGCAGTAGATCTGCAGGGATTTACACTATCTGAGGATCTGGTCGCTTCTTGCTTTTTAATCTGTTCTTTTATGATATTTGACTTGCAGGATGGGAGTTCTTTCTTTTTGTCCCTTCAAAAAGCTCATCCAGCTCAATAAGTTTTCAGTTTTACTTCTTGCTTTCTGTGAATATGGTTTTACTTCTATTGGAGTGCTCTGGCTGTGCTGTTCCTCCTGTTGGGGAAGACAGTCGTAGCTTATATCACTTGGAAAAGCTCAAAAAGAGGCAATTGAGTATGTTGAGCATGGATTCTATTCTGGCACCTTTGATTAATGCAGATAATCAGAAATTGAAGTTAATCAAAGATAGTTGCAAGGAGGTTATTCCATGCACTTCAGGAAATGCTAATAGATCTCAATGTTGTCTCTCTTCAAACAATCAGATCACCATTACTAATTTTAGGTTTGCGTTTTCTTAGATGATTTTCATTAATATACACTTTCAACTTCCCTTTTACTTCACTGCAGAAAAATAAACCTCGCTTTGAACTTTAAAAATTGGGACCCTTAAAAATAGATACACAGCTCATTTCAGCATGCAGTTAATCCATAACCCTTGCAATTTCAACATTTCTTTGCTGATGATCCAAATTAATGTCCACATTCTTTCAGGTGGCATTTTCATTCTTTTTCTGTTGAGAACTGAAAAAGATCTATTCTTGAACAGATAAATCATTGAAAATTCATATTGAAAATCCATGCCTATTATTTTCATATTTCAAATACATGGAGATTAGGCTTGTATCTGTTGCTGGTTGGTTTAAAAGGCCAATTGGAATTACAAATGCTGTGGACAAAGGAGTGGGTATTGGCTCTTAGGAGATAGACGTGGTGAGTGATGCCATGGGCACGAACACTGTAAGAATTCTTTGTGTTTCTAAGTTTTACATTCAGGTCTTAGACCTGTACAGGATTCGTGTGTGAGAACTAAGCAGAACTCCCAAAAGCTGAGGTTCACATCACTATGACAGTGCACAACAGATGAGGATGTTGTGCTGCCTGTGGGGCAATCAGCAGGTAGTCACGTCTTGTAATTCACATGTCTCAATTGGGAGAGTAATCTCTTATTGTTGGTTGAGAAAAAGAAGCACTTTATGAAAGTAACCTGGGGCATTTTGGTTTGGTTCATAGGTTAATGTGTATGTCAGGTACTTGCATGGGATTTAAAGGGAACTGGTAGGTACACACTCCCTCCAGAATGGGTGATATAAGGAGTGCTGCAGAAGCTTTGGAGAAGGACCATCAAATGACTGCAATCTCACAGTGAAAGAGTTACGGCTGTTAATTTATTAGCACTGTCAGATGGGGATTTGGTAGCGATTTGTTCACTATCTCCATACTTGTGGAATAGAGATTGGTAACAGGATGTTCATGTATGTATCAAAGATACAATAAGGCCCACTGAAGTTAGATAACAGTTGCCATTTGTCTCACTTGTATAAGGTGAAGATAAGTAACTCTTGAAAGGTGTTTGTATTCCCGTTGCTAAAAAATGCTAAAAGTTATAAAAAGTCAGAAGGCCTGAAGACTTTCCTAATTTTTCCAGCATCTTAAGTGTTCAATGAAGTGCTCATGATTAGAAAATTTTGTTGAAGATCTTTTTATTTTTTTAAAATTTATCTAGTGTTGAGGGAAGCCCAGTTGCACATGAACACGCACTGCTTTGTGTTCACAAACAACTATTTGGCTATCCACTGATGGGATTAATCTGGGTTTCCCACGTGGTTCTTTATTTGCAACCCTTATAAACCACATGTCCAAGTACCCCTTTTTTACATCTGTGTAGCAGAAAATAAAGATTGGTCTGGTACTGACTGCACCTGATGCAACTCTGCCCTCTTACTCAGAGGGGTTCGCCTTGGATATTGTAGATGTCAATTTTTGAAGCTTAAAGAACTGCCTCATTTTACCATTGAGTGTGGCATTTCTGTCTAATAGACAGAATAATAGATCCTTGTGAACGCATCTGAGATGAGAACCGTTGCACTATCCAGAGTTAATTAGATGTGATAGGTTTACAATGATTTAATGAAGAAATGTCATACGATCTTCTCTGCACACAGTCGGCCTTTCTCAAAGCCACTTTGTACTTTGAGCAGAAAGTAAAATTGGTGTAAGTTTGTAAGAAATATTTAATGAAGCTCTAGGAATTTTTTTTTGTTGTTTGCTTTGTGGGATTGTTTATTTATTTATTTATTTAGGATTTGAAGGCTATGAATGATGCCAAAACTGCTGTAGTAAAGCAGCATGATTTCAAACAGCATGATGATCATAAAGGTGTATTTGTCACATTACACCTATATTATTTTGTACCTACAGGCCAGAAAATTTAGTAGACATTTAGACCAGTTTGTGTATTTACACATAGCATCATATTTAAGGCAGTGTAATGCTCATTGCCTGCGGGCAATGCCATATTTGAAGAACTTTGAGGAGTGAAGGGGCTGAAAGTGCCCAAGAAGGTCTTAGCGAGAGTTTGTTGATTTAACATACATGTTGAGCAGGCTGGAAGGGAGTGTAATATTTATCAGCCCAGACTTCATTTAAACTCATTTGGATTCTCCATTGAATTTGGACTTCTCTCAATAAAGTACTGTCTTTGCTATGAAAGAATCAAAACAAGTCCATGAATGAAAGAAACCCTGACCCTACTGAAATCAGAGACAAAACTCTCATTGAGACCCAGGATTTCGTCTTACATGCTTAGAATTTTTCAGAGGCATTCAAGAATATTGCAAAGATTTCTGTGTAGAAGGAGCTCTGAGTTGGAGGGCTGTTTCTGTGTTTCTCTGCTCACAGACCCTCCCATAAGGAATCTCCTGACCTCCATAGTGAATTTGGGCCTCAGTTTTCACAGGTTTCCTGCCTTGAGAGAGGTCTCTGAATTCAAATAGTGTGTGTGTGTGATAACTATTTCCAGTGGTCTATGGACGCAGGAAAAAAATCCACCTGGAGAACAGGTTGGCTGTTCCTCAACTTTCCAATTGTTCGGGAAATAGAAGCTGTGCATCTGGATAAGCTGATGAATGGCAGCTTGAGAAAACCTGCAAAGGTCTTTGGCCTTCAGGTGCGTTGAGTTTGGGCTTTTTTCTTTGTTTAGAAGCAGAGCAGTTAAATTGCAAATGGACAGAAGGCTGAGTGTTGGCTGCACACAGGTTTTTTTGACCTGATTCTGTGAGCTTAGCTTGTGAAATGCACAGCAGGCCCAGTGGCAAACACTTGAGAAGTCAGCAGGAATCTGCATTATGTTGTACTCTGTATAGGGAAGCAATTGTAAATCTTATTGCTAGGGGAACCTGCTTAACAAATTGTACTACTGATTTATTTTTTTTTCATATTATCATAGACACATTTCTGTGCTGCATCATTTTCAGTTGAACACCAGTTTCCTTTGAACTTGGAAGCAATTATTCTCCTCAGCACCAAACCTAACAGGACACCCCGTGTGCTCAGAGTCAAAAGAACGCTGCCATTACACTGAAAACATGACCAGTCATTTTTGTTCACTTCAAAACCCTTTTGTTCATCTTCTGTGATCTTCTGCACAGGTTAAAGTTACTGCCAAGGTCAAGGGCTTAGAAGTTTCAGCTTTTCCTAGCTTCTCCAGCACTATCTGGAGTTCAGCAAGTGCTGAAACTGTGTTATATTTCTAGTAATCAGTGTTGTCTCAAACAGTGCCATTTTCATACCAAATCATAACATTTTTCAACTAAGACTGCTATGAAGTTCCTGCAGTTTTCTGTTCCTAAGGCCCGTTGTAGCTGAAACCTTAAAGCTGTTCTAAATAGACGTCTATGCAATTCCTCTTAACAAAGTTGAAAATAATTTATTTTCTGAAAAATGGCTGTTTGTTTGCACTTAAATCTTACAGTAGTTCCATGTCATTGTTGCAGATTTGCTCTAGTAAAAAAAAAAAAAAAAAAAAATCTTTTAGAAATAAAACATTTCAGATTTTGATATTTTCTTCATTTCTGAGAAGACATGGAAGGAAATGCTGTGTTTAACTGGTAATTATTTTTTGTGAATAACAAGCAAACTGAAATAATTATATTCTTGGTTATATGCAGAAGCAGGTTCCTAGGCACGAGCTGCTTTCATAAATTGAGTGATTTTGTTGCTGATTCTGAAGCACTTACGCCTTGTTATGAGAGTGGACTCCTCAGAGATGATCTAATGAGAATCCAAACAGATGCACCATTCCCTCCTGCAGCGGTTGTGGTTAATGAGACTACAATCCTAGAAACTATAAAGAAGAGTCATTTGTCAGTATAGTAGCAATCATTAGAAAGAGACAGGCTGCACAGACACCCCAGGAAATACAAGGCAACAGAGATGTCTGTAAAGCAACATGTGCAGGATGGTACCACACTAATTGTGTGCCTTGTATTGCATGCTTTGTACATTCCCAGCTCTCTCTAAAGAGATTTTCCATGTACCACATATGAGATTAGCCAGCATACATTTATGGGTGTGATCATTCTTAGCTGTGTCTGGTTTAGATAAAGAGAGGGGTATAAGAAGGGTTTCTTTCCGGTACTTCTAGTGTTAGTAATAGAAGAACTGTAAATGGAACATTCCCACACTCTTAAAGTATTTATATACAAATCATCTTGACTACCACTTCCCAGCAGATAAAATGGTTTGTGACTCCTCTGTTGTCACAGTCCACAGTTCAATAAATTCTTTCTGATTCATCTCTTTCATTGAACATACTGCTGATGGAAACAAAAAGGCAAAATGGCATTTTGGAATTAACTTTATCTTGTGACCATCTCAGTGCTAGTGTCTTATTTCCTATAAAACAATTATTTTGCCAAAAAGTAGCTCGTGATTTCTAAATAGAAACAGAAGACAAGTAAAATTGAGACTAGGCTAGCTGAGCCTTTCACCATTATAGTATTTCAGAGACTGGGACAAGTAGAACTCAATATTGGAATTGCCAAGTGAAGGACAAGAGACTGAGGTGTGGCAGTATTACCTTAAGTAATCAGTCATGCTACTTTTCAGAGCAGGTAAATCTAGCACTTACTACAGTCTATCAAGGAGCTCATCACCACTGCCCCCGAAATAGGAAAGCTGCTGTCCACTCACGTGGCTGAAAGAAAATCTTGTCTGGAGGTTGTCATAAGCAACAAGTCATTCAGAGGTAAAACATCAGACTGGTAAACAGAACATTGCAGATGGATTCTTCTGAACAAATTTTATGCAGCTAAGCCCCCTGAACTGCACACACGTTCATTTTTAAAACACACGTGTACAGATGAATTGTCTTGTATGCTGGCACATCTCTCTCAGTGAGGTGTGCTAAGAGCATTCTTTCCACCCCCTTTCTGGTAACTTTTAAGATTGGCAGATGACCACTCAGCTAAAAGAGGAACAGTTTAAAGAAAACTTCTGTTTTCCTTCCCTCCTATAATATATACAAAAGAAGTTTGTGGAGTCTGAGATTTTCGGTCCTCTAATGAAACATAGGAAACCTAGAGCTGAAAGCAGACCTGCAGGGCTTTTTCTGTTGTGTTTTACAGTCCTCATGGAGCTGTCAGCTATTTTGCTTTGCTGGGTTTTTCAGTCCTTGGTGTGTACCTGAAAAAATGAAGGGGTTTTTTGCTCACATGTCTTACGCCTTTGTGGTCAGCTGCACCCATACAAACTGAAGCACTCAAGTGGGAAGGTTTTGCTTTTGTGGGTTTGCACTACAGTAAAGAATGGCACAAAATAAAAGGCAGCAGCATTCTTTTATGGTGCACACAGTCATGTGCTTGGAAATCCAGCTGTTAAGTCAAGCTGCGTGTTTCTGCCATGCAGAACCCTCTCACCCTGACAGTCATGGGAGCTTTCTGGACTATTGAATTGGCGTGGATTGTTAGAAGGCAAAGAAATAATTTTAGTAAGAACAATCACACAAATGGAAATTACATTTTTAAACATTAGATTCATATTTGCTAAGTCAGCAGTCGTGAAGTATTTGTCACTGGAGCCAAGAGTGGCACTGATAGACTTGGGGTGGCACCTGTGATCTGAGTGCAGCCACCAGATGAGTTGCATTGCTTTACACATGATTTTTCATATCATAAACTTCCCATCAGAGGGCTTAACCCAATGAAAGAATGTGTAAGGAGCAGGTATGCCTTTTGATACAGGCCAAGTGGCCTAACAGCTATTTTCCATCTGTAGCTTTTGTGCGCTTTGGTTAGGGAACAAGTAGCTGCCAGCTACAAGTATGCTTCACCCTGCTTGGAGTTGGTTTTGTTTTGAGTTCGCATATCAACTACTGTGCTCTGTGCCTGTGACTTTTAACTCCAATGTCAATCTCTGTAATAAGTCATTGCTGAGTAACCTTCCATTCTTCTTTCCCACATTGCCCATCTAATCACCAGCTGCCAGCACACAGCTCCTGCCTGCATGCCATCAGAATGAGTGCGAGCTGCTAAAACCTCAACTCCAGCCTGAACACAGATCTTTGTCTCTGCAGGAAAATGAGGGGGAAAAAAAAGTCACCAGGGCTACCAGATTTTGTTATTGTTTGTGTTTGTATTTTTTGTTTAAACTTCCTTTTCTCCCTCGAGGTTTTGATTCCACCGATTTTATTTGGGTTTGATTGGGCTTGCTTTTTTAATTTGATTTTTCTTTAATTGCTCTCCCTCTTCTCATTTTGTTTTCTCCATTCTTTCATTGGAGGCAATGAGCCGTCCAGCGGTCGGAACTCCCCTGTCCCCTATCGGCCAGACAGCCGCCCTCTCACTCCAACTTACGCTCAGGCCCCTAAACATTTCCATGTTCCAGGTAGGAGCTGGCACTGTGTGTGTCTCGGTGTCCTGTCACAGTGTAGAATGTAGCCTTTGTACCTTCTGTCTTGTCTCCATCGTTTCACGCTGTCTGCCATGGGGTGCGCACGCAGGGTTTGGGTCTGCCTGCTCCTGAGCTTTGTGGGAGGAGTGGTGCCTTCAGAAATGGGGGCTCACGGTGATTTTGACTTGTGTTGCTCAGGTATTTTGCTGTTAGAATGCCATGTTTTGCAGGGTCTGCTAATGGCCCATGAGCTGAATACAAGCTACGGAGGGCTTTATTTTTCTCCCAGTTGCACAAGCATAACTCTGCTAACTTTGGAGGAATTGGTTGTGATTCACAGTAGCGTGCAGAGGAGTTGACCAGTGAGCCATGTAGCCACTGATGGGACTGGTTTCAGTCTTGAACCAAACAGTTCTACTTTAATATTCCCTCCTTTTTGTATTGTTTTTTTTTGTTTTGGTCTGATTTTAGTTTTTGTTGTGTTGGTGTTGTTTTTTTTTTAACCAAGCGAGGATGTTTCTTCACCTGTTTCATGCAGTGCCTTGGAGTCCTTGCAGAAGCACACAGACTGCAGTAGTTATCATGCATGAGGATACCCTCTCTATAAAGGGGGTTCTCTTCTGAAGTGAGAGTACCTCTCTTGTGATTTGATAGGATGAGGGTTTGTGTCCTGTCCCTAGGGTTGCTGACACACATCATCTGATTGCATCAGTGCTAGCTGAAAGCCTTATGTCCAGTTATTCATCAGCTCCCCATCAGTCTGGTATCCCTTTAAACTGCCAGAGGCTGCTGCTCTTCCTCCTGCCCTCAGACCTGGCAGACAAACTGTGGATGTTCGCTTTCAGGCAGGGTGACCTGGCTTGGCCAAGGTAGGCTGTGTGAAGTGCCTAAGCTAACCTGGCTGCTCGGACGTGAGTAAGTTGAAGTGCCCTTGTGCGGAGAGCCCAGCTGGGTACACAGTGCACAGTGTGGTGGGAGAGCTGTCATCTTCAGCTGGAGCAGTGCAGCCCAGGAGCTGTGTGCACGTACCCCATAAAGCTGTCTGGTACACGTGTGCACTAAAGTCTTGCTGCCTGGTTCCCCTTTAGCCTTTGTGCCTATTTGCTGTTCAAGTAGCCGTGAGAAGATCACTAGCACAAAATACTTCAGTGCATTTGTGTGCAAGGAATTTCCCTGTCATTTAGTCCAGGAAATAGGGTTTGTAAAATAGTTTTACCTTTTTTTTTTTTTTTTCCCCACATATTGTTTTCCTTAATGCCAAAAGTTGTCTCCTGTATCACTTCGATGAGATCTGTGATAAACAAAATGTACTTTTAAAACATTTTCTTCTTCCTTCATGCTAATATGACTGAAAAGTTTATTTTTTTCAGGCAGTATGATATAGTAGCAAAATGGGGTTTTGACTCAAATGTCTTAGTTTCCAGTAGCTCATTGTGGTCTTGCAGTAAGACCGACTTAAATTTTGCACTGTAGCACTGATTTTGAATTAACTTCTGCATTTGTGGCTGCGTGGAATACTTGAAGAGCTGGTTTGGGGTGGGTGGGTAGTTTAGAACAATGTAGCTCCCATCTTAGTTCATTATTGTAAAAATATTTTATCTTTTGAATATGCTTTAGATTTCTTATGTTAGGGCTCTGAGTAGTGACTTTTTCCTGACTTACATTGATAGTATGCAGTGTGGTCATCCTTACATGAAAATATATCTAAGTCTTTGTGTATGAGGAGGAACAGTATGTCCCTTAACACCGACTCTGTGAAGTCAAGGTGCCGTTGGCTGTTCAAAACTATGTATGGAGCAGCTGTTTTGTTCTCTGGCTTTTGAAGTGAATGGTAGGCTCACTGCATTCTCCTCAATCCAACCATTCAGCCGGAAAGAAAATTGAGCTGTTGTGACTGGAGCACAATTTTCCACAAAAGTTACTTGGGGTACTTTTCCCCAAATAGCTTGTTTTTTCACCCCTGAAATGTCTTGCTTGTTTGCATTTCCCAATGTCTGTCACACTGATAATATTTAAAATGAATTATTCATTATTTGAATGCATCCACATGCTACAGAATCAGCTCCAACGGACGTCATACCACGTGTCTTCTACTTGTCACTCGTTCTTATGTTTTCTTTTCTTCAGACAATCTGATTCTGTGTAACACTGGCTTTTTCTTGGGCTACATCCTTAATTTGGTCTGTCTACTGTTTTAGTGTTGGTGTTACCTTTACCAATAACTGACGTAGTTCTCCTATTAACACTTTTCTGTTTCTCCATTTCACAGACCAAGGTGTCAACATTTACAGAAAGCCACCAATCTACAAGCAACATGGTAAATTATCTTTCTTTTTTTGTATCGAAACTGGAGCGTCAACTAAAATACACACAGGCTACTGAAAAGCATTCAGTGTTCACTTTGAAAGCATCAAAAATCAGTAATCCAAGCTTTAAAGACTTCTTGTTGCACATCCTGCTGGGTGGTTATGTTTTAAAGCATGTTGTTTTATTTGAATCTTATGGCTTAAGTCTTGGCCACATTGCTATTAACAGCAAAATTGCCATTAACTAGGATTTTGCTACCTTTTTAGAGTTGTAATGCCTTCCTGTATTTTACTTCTTTCAGTTTATGTTTTCAGAATACAGATTTTGATCATGGAAAAAACGGATTAACAGCAGTCCATTCTTTGTCAGGAACTTTGTGGATTATGCTTATTTTAAGCAGACAAAGTACAATTACTGATGTCAACGACAGTAATGATGGGGATGTTACTGCCAGACTGGAATTCCAAATGTACTCTGGCTTCTAACAAATCTTTATATTGAAAATGATGTAGGTGACTGACAGGGCTGGTTTGATTCTCAAGCCCTGTGAAGTAGATCAGGTAGTGAGTGTGGCTTATCTGCTGTTCCAGTGTTTAGATTCTGACTTGTACAACAGTATCCAACTCAGCTCTAATCTTTTCAGAGCAGATGTTGTTTTAGCAAGTCTGGAATAACAGTGATGGCAGAAGCCAACTGCTTTGCTGGTCTATAACAGTGCAGAGCAAGGAACCTTTAAGTGTTTGCTATTTCCTTCAGCTGTCAATAGAAAACTTTAATTAGGAAATTGCATGTAATGTGGTGAAAGAAAAGTGACTTCCACTTAAAGACCTTTCAGCCCTTTGCAGACTCTTTATCCAGTGAAACAGCAAATTAGCAGTACTACAGAGCTTGGGTGAACAGTTTGCTGAGATGGTTAAGAAGGCCCAGGGTGTCCATTCTGTAGGCAGGAGTGAATATTGCTAAGAACACCATTGTAGTTTTACATCAGGTTTCTTTCCTTGTTCTTTTTTAAGTTCTCAAATCTTACGCTTATTTTAGAAGTCTTAACGTTACTTTTGTTTATTTTTATGGTTTTAATGTACCTTCTCATCTCCCATTAACACGTGAATGTTTAACCACTGACATCACCAATTCTAATAAGTAAGTACGTAAGTACTCTTTGAAGTCATGCTTTTGTAAACCCTCACCAGCTTCCTCCATACCTATAATTACATGTAGTTTCTCAATCATAAATTTCTCAAAATTCCCCATGATTTCTAATATTGATTCTCCTGAAGTACGCTGAATGTGTTGGATGAGTAACAAAGTACTTCATTGCTTTAACAGATGTCTTTCTGCATAAAACAAAAGCAAGAAGTACATTCAGAATCCTTTTGTCTTATATGATGGCTTCATATAAGAGAAAGGTGATTTGGAATAACAGTTTGCAGAGGGGAGATGGTTAAGGCTGCTTTTAGTGCAAACTAAATCCTGTAGGATTTTATTATTTTTAATGTAAAGATGTGAAAGCCATAATGCACATCCTCACATGTCCTTTTAAGGGACTTTGGCTTTGATTGCTATCTTAAATGAATGTCCCACTACTGATACATGTTATTGATGAGGTACATTTCATTGGAAGTGCTGTCCCTGCGAAGTTGATCTCAATGAAGTTTAGTAGTTAATAAATAAATTGGCATCTGCTTTTACTGCTACTGCATGCTCATAATCAAGTACATGCAGCAGGAAAGATACGGTTCCTTTATTTGTTTGTTCTGCTGCTTTTCACAGAAGCATAGGAAATAATCAGCATCAGTAGAGTTAAAAATAATGCTGTCCCTCTGGTCTTGCTTTCTTACTCTTGAGAGAAGACAAACCAGTGCATAAATCTGGTTTCATTGGTGGTCTTTAAGAGATACCATCAAATACTGTTAGACTGAATTTTCTCACTCTTGTCTGATCATTTTAACACTCTGAAACCCTAGTAAAACCCAAAGATGATTTAGGGTTATTTTGGGGGTGGGTTTGTGGGATGAGAAGGTTTGATTCTAATCTGTAGGCAAGAGGAAAGCATTACTTTGTTTCCAATTGCAATTAGAAAGGCAAAACATGAAAATGTTTGGATTTGAAAATGTCCTTCTTGTAAATCAGTAAATCTTGTCAAAATATGGAAACCTCTTATATTGATATAGCTTATTACATGGCTAAGTTCCCTGATTGCCATCTAGATGCAGCTGCTTTGGCAGCACAGAGCAAGTCCTCCGAGGATATCATCAAGTCCTCCAAGTTCCCAGCAGCTCATGCACCAGCACCCAACGAGATACCAAAGATTGAGACGGACCACTGGCCAGGTCCTCCCTCCCTTGCAGCCATAGGTATGCAAAAAGAATTCTACAAGTGGTGTGGATTAAAAGGTTCTGATCAGTAAAGTAGCTGCCAGAAGAGGTTGTGAGTATCGTGCCTGCTCCAAGTGATTGCCCCAGAGTGCAGTTATTCCGGTGAGACTCTGCACTTCTCTGTCTTTATAACTGCTAGTGAGCAGAGGAGATTCTGAAAAAGGATGTTGGAAGTAATCACACAAATACTAATCCATAGAAAATTTATGTAAACTCCCGTATTGTGATTTAAAAACAGTATGTTGTATCACACATGCATGACTTCTCTCAGTCACTGTCTATGTGCTCTTTTAGTCCTAAGCTAATAGTAAATATTCACAGAAAGTGTCACTGCTTCCAACCACACGGCTGTTTTCATGACAAGAACCAAGGACTGCATATAATGGACTAAAATGGACTAAAAAAGTCCCATTTTGTCAGTTATTGTTTCTACAGACTGTATTTTTCTTTTGCTCTGCAAATATCTTATTTTAAGTCATGCTCATGTTCATTTTAAAACTTTTATTTAATATTATGTTATTTCTGTTGATTTTGTTGGCCCCCCTCTCCCCACTTGTAAAATGTAGTACAGAATAAGTTATATAGCCTGGTTGGTTTATGAAGTCATGTCAGATATGCTGAAGACCTTGCCTTCAGGTTTCTGTGAAGGGATGTGAAGGGAACAGGATTTTTGTGTCGTGCAGGGAAAGGTGGCAGGATGGGATTGCTCAATGATCAGTCAAAGGAGCTGTGTATGCAGTGGCAATTGTGTGACAATGTAGTGATAACATCTGTATACCTGAAACTCTCCTGACAGTGCTTGTTGTAACCACAGCGTTGTTATGCCATGTGTCAGAGGTGGAGGCTTTCCTGGAAATGTTGGCTCTTAACTCATATTCCTGGCAGTGGATGACAATTTTGGTTTGGTTTTTTTGTTTTTTTTTTGTTTTTGTTTTTGAGTAAAACTGCTTTGCACATTGGCTCTCAGGTGATTTAGTTACACCTGAGAAACTAATCCAAACTTCTTGGAAACTATAGGTTTGTATTCGTGGTCATATTTTATTCAGAAATAAAGACATTGTATAGGATTAAGCACTGAAAAATCTTCAACCCTCAGATTTTTCAGCTTGGGTTTTTTTGTTGTTGTTGTTTTTTGGGTTTTTTGAGTGTGATATTTTGCTGCAGAGCTAGACTGAGCACCACTGTCAAAATAGGAGTTCTGTTTTACTGAAGTCTTGCAAAAGCCTGACACCAGAAACACTGTTGCTCGATTGGAAACCTATGGGCAGTTCAGCTTCTTGTTGATTTCATAAGAAGCCTGATAGCCATAGGACAGGCTGTCTGAATGAGTTTTATGGAGGACAAGTTTTGAATAAGTCTTTTGAATCTGCAAGAAAATACTTCTTTGTTTATTCAGTAAATCAAACTGAGAAAGAACTGATACACAAAGCTGTCTGTACTGTGGTTTTATGGGAGCAGGAGCAGACATGAGACGCAGGTCAAGTGGAAGAGAGGAAGACGATGAGGAGCTACAGAGACGTCGGCAACTGCAGGAGGAGCAGCTCATGAAGGTTATTATAACCTTATCTTCATACTGCTTCTAAACACCATCCAAAAATTGCCCCTTCTATTTACGTAAGCAACTTATAATTCCTCTGCCAGTTTTATTTTATTCATATATTTTTAATTGCTGTCTGTAGCTTAATTCTGGTCTTGGACAATTGATACTGAAGGAAGAGATGGAAAAGGAGAGGTCAGCCTTTTCTGCCAGTCGTTATGATTCTCCAGGTAATTCATCTAGGCAATGAAGCTAATAATGAACTGTGAGTAATGAATGCCACATGGATACATACTCAGTGTTTTTCCATCATAGGCACCACTGGGAGATTGCTTGGTATGTGTAAGTGGTATTCTGTTGTTCTTCCGTGAAAAGGATGGGCTAATGCCTTGTTTTACCCCCATTTCATGGAGTTGAACCCTGTCATGTTCTAGGAAGTGTTGTGTTATGTATAAGATGACTATAGCATCAGATCAGGCTGCCACGTTCTAAGATTTGTTTGAATTCGGCCATTACTATCTGTTCTGATCCTTGTCCTGGCCAAGTCAGGGCCAAAACTTTTGTCAGTAGCAGTATTACATGACTTAAAGAGCCTTTTCTCCCTTATAGCAAAAAAATTAGGAACACAGAGCAGTGTGTGCTATTCATGTATATTGGCTTGTGCACCAGCAGAAGCTGAGCATATGAATGTAATAATAATTAAGGTAGGATGAGTGGAAAAAAAATTTGTTGAAGATTTAGAAGGTAGGGTTACATGTAACTCAGGTGTGCCACTTTAGGAGAGTGAAATACAAGGGGACTCTTAACAGGAAACCTATCCAGTCAAACAGTGCTAATCTTCTTGGATTCTTTTGATCCCCTTCTTGGTATTATTGTAAGATATATAGCAATACTCTTATCTATCTGAAGGCTGGAAAGTTATTTTGCTCTCATTACTTTCAGCTTAGTAGAGGTCACTTTGATTGAGCCTGGCACTATGACATGATTGTGTTGCATGTAACTTACAGAGAGTATGGAAAGTTGTGATAGTTTGGAACTGAGATGTTAGCTTCTTGAAATCAGCATATCTCAGTTGGTTAAGCTTCCCCTTAGTTCTTCATCTGTATTTTTTTCTGCAAGTTGATTTCTCAAATGTTCTTAGTTTTGCTTTTCCATGGAATTGTTTCAGTAAAAAATTTTTCCCTTTCTTTTTCAACAGCCCACGCTTCAGCCTCCAAAACCTCTTCTCTTCCTGGCTATGGAAAAAATGGACTTCACAGGGTAAGGAGATAGATGTTTTGAGACTCAAAAAGTAAACAATTTGTTACTTCTCTTATATCAACCCACTGGTGAAGCCATGAACTGTGGATTTAGGTGCATGTCCCTCTTTTCCTGTTACAGCCGGTGTCTACAGACTTTGGTCAGTACAACAGTTATGGGGATGTGAGTGGTGGGGTTAGAGGTAAGGATTTTCACATGCCACTTCTTTATGTATTGTATATGGAGAATGTATTGCGATGAGTGCTCATTTCTGCTGCTTCATATTAAAATCGTGGATTTTCTTTGTATTTGTTAAGTGGTTTTAACTTCTCTGGGCAAACTTCATAGTTAACTCAAACTCTGCAAGTACATGTTTAAAAGTTTGGGTTTATATTGCTAAATCTTCTATCATCCCTGTTTTTGCCAAGAGCATGCTTTAGCATTGTTCACATTGGAAGCAGGTGATAGTCTGTAGGTAATTGAAATATGTTCTGAATTAATATTTTGAATATGTTTGAGCTTACTGGTGGGGGGAGAGAGAGGGAGACAGATTTGCCTTCTGAGTGAGACTGATCCCTTCTGTCTTGGATACTTTATGGTAAAGATCATAAGCTTCTGCTTGTGTCTCTTTATAGACTGTGAAGGAATCCTACAGAGCTACCTGTTGTCAGGTGAATCATGCTCTAAAAAGTTGAATATTAGTAGGCTATTTATTTGCCAACTATTATGGTTCTCTGCGTCTGATGTTTCTAATGTGACTTAGTTTTCCAGAGTGAGAAGCACACTTGAAGTGGTCTGCAATGTAGGGAGTGCTTTGCTCTTCACAAACTAAGACCTAAAGTAGGGAGGTTTGCTGACTGTATAGAATCAGGTGGGATTTTGAGTAGATGAAGTAGATCACAAAACACAAGGATGATCTGGCAGGCTGTGTCTATCTCCTCTTCAACCCTCTGCAGCTAAAGAGATTTCTCTTTTGTTTTTCAGATTTCCAGGTAGAGTACGGGTTTTCATCAATCAACTGACAACGGATTTAAAAGCATCCACTTTCTTTTTAAGTCTGAATTTCTGCTACAGGGAAGGGTTTCTTAAGACATTAACTTTGATTTACCTGCATGTTTAAGCATAATCACCAATGTAGACTCTTAATTGATAAAAAACAGGCACAGTCTCAGATTCCTCCTTCCTTGTACCTCCCCAGAACTGGGTTGAGAAGGCTCAGACCAGTCTGAGATAAAATCCACTGTCTGTTCAAATACGAGTTGCCTGCAATAGCTCTTTCTGGACAGCTGAGGGTGGATTTATCTCCAGCCTGTCTAGTACCAGCCCCAGAGATGCTTTGAAATAATTTTCTGGAGGCAATTTTCTTCCATACCAGGAGCCTTTTTGCCCTGGAATTTATTCTTCAGACAAGATGACTAATCAATGTCTTTCTACAGTGCTACCATCACAGATGAGCTATTAAGATACATGCTTGCAAAAATTAACCCTTTTATCCCAAAACCTGTCTAAGGGATTTTTTCCAGAATAGTTTGAGCCTGGCTGGCCCCTCATCACAATCACATTATGAAGTGACAATTTAAGAAAGGTTTTAATGATGTGGATGTATTTGTTAATGATATATCAAAACTGTGATGAATGGAAAGAAAATAAGATTATGGGAGAAGAGAGGAGTTCTTCATGTATTATATTCAAGATGTAACTGAGCCTGTGTCAGAACAGCACCTTTTGACAACAGCCCTATCCTTGTTCTCGTTCATAGTCAATGTTTTCCACTGTACACACACACACACAAAAAAAGAAAAAAAAAGCAAACCAATCCAACACCTTGGCTGATACACTAAGTGACATGAAGGGCAGACAGGCTGCTTATGTGTACTGTTGAGCAGAATCTGAATTTATGCTTCTCTGTATTTGTTCCAGATAAGAGCCTTACTTGATGATTGGGGTTGGGAAGGGCCTGCCATTCTCTCAGGGTCCCCAGGTCCATTCAGCCCCAGTAATGTCAGAAAATGTAGTGGTAGAGAGGGTCGAAGGATGCCTCAGGAAAACATGCTTCTGAGAATTGATTGCCAGTAACCATGGCAATGTCCTGTGTGGTCAGAGTAAGCAGTAAGGCTTGAAGGGAGTCTCAGTGCAAATTCACCTTTGTTTTCACCACTACTTGAGTGCCTTTACCCTCTGTGTGTGTAACCTATGTGTCTGATGTATACCTGTATCTGATGCAGTCCCTTCCGGATGGTCATGTCCCTGGAATGAGAATGGACAGAGGAGTATCTATGCCTAACATGTTGGAGCCAAAGGCAAGTGCAGATGTTATTCACTTTCGTTCAAGATAATGAAGATTTGACTGTGAAATGCAGATAAAATACAGGAGATGTCTTGGTTCCCTTGTTCTTCTTTACCTCATCTCAATCCCTTCTCCCTTTGTGCCAAACCTGTCCCGTTGTTCTGGAATTTGCCTATTCTGGGTATTCATACTCTGGCTGAAGGTAGTCAGTGTGCTCCTTTTGGGTGGAGCAGGCTTTCTCAGAGACACAATGAAGATACTGAAGGGCTCAGTAAATAGCTAGTTCTCTGTCAAGCTTTCAGTAGCCAAAATAGCAGACCACACTTGATTGCAAAGTCTTGGATCTGTTATGATTGAAAAGTGACACAGGATATTATGGTTCACAACACATGGCTGAGGCTCTACACAGATCTCTGGTTTGAGACTAATGGTGCCTGAAATCTTATATAATGTTTAGTTCCCTATATAAGAACTTTGTTACAAGATTTGTTGGGAAAAAGAGGTAATATCAGCTGAATATGAGTTAAGGTATAGATAAAAATGCTTTTGCTGCTGTGTCTAGAGGTGGCTGAGTCAAAAATGAACATAATCTACAGAAAGGCTTCAGCCAGTGCTGTGTTCTAAATCTTGCAACTTTCTCTGTGGCTGGTGAACCTTCTGAGAAATCATGGTTTTCCCAGAGTTGCAAGGATCAGCATTGCTGCAGTTAAGTGAGGAGCTTTATATGCAAACCAGATTACTGCTTGTGCTTCCAGGTGACCCTCAGACAAATTGTAGAAGGCAATAACCTTAGCTTTATGAGCTGAGAACCTAGTGCAGTGTACGTGAACAAATGTTTTTATATACTATGTAAGTATAGACCTTGAGAACATCCCTGACTTCTGAGATCATGCTTTTTATTCCAAATGATTTATTTTTTCAGTGCAATAGCATTTATTACAGCCCTCACTGCCATTAATGCATCCTGTTATTTGGAATTTTGTGGTGGGTTACAAATTCTGTCATACTACTAATGATAAAATTTGTGGGAATGTTCATGAGAGTACAGGTCACTTTCTGTTGATGTTTAAAAAGGTTGTGCCAGTCCCTGAGGTTATGCTAAGTGGCAGTTCTGTTCATGTCAATGATCCAACAGTAATTTAAACCTGATCAAGTGGCTACTAGGTGACCTTCAAGGTCTCTTCTAAACCAAGCCATTCTGTGATTCTATGAAGTGAAAAAAGCCAACTCAGTGTCAGCTTGAAACACCTGGGAAGTGAAAATTAGTAAATTTCAGAAAGCCCAAATCTTACCAAGCAGTTCACCAGAAGGGACAGAATTTGTGCATCCTAACACCCCAGACTGAAACATACCTTACTGTGAATACCTGAATATAAAATGTACTTATGACCATAGACCTTGACTTAAACTCTGCTTGTTTAAGTATTTTGAAGAGTTGCATTTCAGTTTCCTTTAATGCTGTATATGGTAGCCATTGCCACTATTGAACATAAACAATGTAATTCAAAGTATAGACTTAATTGTACCATTGTGACAATGTCAGAGTCTCCTAAGAATCCTATCTTAAAGCTGGTATGTAAGCACATATTACTTAAATTATTATTACTTACAATAAACTCCGTGGTGTGTTCATTGGTGCCTGAATCTTATTTATTGCATTTCATTGGGGTAATAGTTTACAGTGGAATTAACTTAATTGCTTAGTACTACCCAGAACCTGATTTGGTGGAATTTCTTCTGTTGTTAAAATAATAGAGTTTTATTATAAATAAGCTACTTGTCCAGGAGAGTTTTGGTGATTTCATTCAGTGGGCAAGTATCTGGCTAAAACAGTTTTGTTTGCCAGGAATGGTTTTAATCCATATGGTTTTCTGAAATCCTTTTTAAGCATCGTTGTTTCTGTTGCATTAAACTGATCTGAGACCCTCTGACTTTAAACACTTTACTTCAAACTTAGAACCTGTACGAGTAGAAGAAAAATTAAATCATTTATGCATCCAGGAATTAGTTGTTGGCAGTAGCTGATTTGTATAAGCTCAGGATGTTATTTGAAATGTAGAGGGAAATCAAGGGAAATGTAATGGGAGATGTACGGGACAGATGCTCTTCTGAAGCAGATGAAGATGTGTAAGATGAATATGTCTACAAAAACATCTCTTTAGTCCATGTATGTATGTTCTTTAACTGTCCAAACAAGCAAAGAAAATCCTTTGATGAATTTTGTTGAATGCAGTAGCCCCCACTAACGAATATCTTGCTTTTTCAGAGTTACTGTTCCTTCAGATGGACTGTCAGATGTATGTTCATGTATTTTTAAGAGTCCTCTGAATTTGTTTTCTTAGAGCTGTCCGTTTTGGCAACCATCAGCCAGACCAATGAGTGCCAAATCTACGTATCTTAATAATCCCTAAAATTTGTACATTGCTAGATGAGAAAGTATATTGAATAGAGAGAGCTCTGTGTTAACAAAGCCAGCTAATATATTATGTGCACTATAAAAATCAGTGTACGCAGAACCTCAAATGTGTGAGGCAGTTTGACATTGATACTGAACAAGTTCTTGCTTTGTCCAGATTGGCCTGTCTTTCATGCATCTTTCAAAAAAGAAATGCTGTAATTTTCGTTGAAAAGGAAAAAGAATGTTTGCGTGGCTATGAAAATAAGACACGTTGTGTTCTTTTTGTTTTGAAATGTAAATACTTCTCTTTTTTCCCCTTTTTATACATTGTTAACAGATTTTTCCATATGAAATACTCATGGTGACCAACAGAGGGCGAAATAAAATACTAAAAGATGTAGACAGAACCAGGCTGGAGGTAAGAGAAGCAAGTTCCTAAATGCTTTTTCCTGCTGAAGTTGTTTGTTGTTGGACACTTGAAAGCTCAAACACTAACGTGTGGGTCCGTGTTAGACTAACAAGATTTCTCAGCAGTAAATGGTGAAGAAGGAATCAGACGGGGAGGAAGCAGCAGCTTCTCAGCAAGTGGTGCTAGGCCAGGAGTCACACATCTCTGAGCAGGAATGCCTCTGTCTCCCTGCTCCTGGGCAGAGCTGTTCACAACCCCCTTATTTTTCAAGCAATTATTTTCATACTTGCAAATTGGTAAAAAAGATCAAAATTGGTCAAGCGTTTCACAGTCATAGGACCCACGTCAGAGTGAGGCAAAGCTTTGTCTGGGCCTGCATCCTTTCTTAGTGAAGTGTCAGTACCAACCACCTTTGAGAATCCAAAGTCTAACTTTCTCTGATTCGTTGGTGTTAGAGTGACTCATTATGCAAAAACATGAGGATTTAAATCTCTACTAACAAATAAAAGTTGTCCACCAATCTGTGGGTTACACGTAAGCAGCCCAATGAAATTCCTTGGTGGGGGATGTTTAGGCTACTTCTAGTTAATTAATCTTGTGGAGATGCATGAAAGAAGGCATGACAACTCGGGTGAGTACCCACTGATTTACATTTTTAGATAGCAATCATGTCTCTAGCTAATGGAAATTCAAGGTGGTGTTATGTTAACACCAGGAGGAGGGACTTTCTCTGTCCAGTGCACTCTAGGGCAGAGGAATAACAGAGGAAACTCACACAAGGCATGTTTCAGTTGTAGAGAAATGTGCTGGGCAGTTGGTCTGGCCAGATGTCTTCCTTCTCAAAGTTTGCAACGTGGCACGTTCAACCTGCAGCCCTTCAACAAAGCTCACCTAAACCCAGAGCCTGCACTTCTCTATGTGAATAGAGATGACTAGCTAAAGCCTGGAGAGGGGCATGCAAGTGCTATTTCTTTTCTGTTATCTATCACTGCATGTTGGGTAACTTCAGACGACTTGTTTATACTGTCTTGCTCATTCATCAACTGAAATAGTTCTTCTGATCCCCTTTGTAACCTTTCAGATGAGGTTACAAACAGCAAAATGTTATTGGTGCACTGAGAATCCAGGTTCATTACGACTTGGATACGTGTTTTGGTATTTCATCAAGCTTCTATCGCTAGATCTTGCAGTGGCATCTAGAGTGACATGAAATCCCTTACGGCACTCCTGTCTCCCAGTGCATCTTTTTCAGCTTTGACTGACCGTTGCCTTTTCTTCCCCCCCTCTTTTTTTTTTCTTTTTTTAAAGCGTCACTTAGCACCTGAAGTTTTCCAAGAGATATTTGGCATGACGATACAGGAGTTTGACAAGTTACCTCTCTGGAGACGCAACGACATGAAGAAAAAAGCAAAACTCTTTTAATCTCTCTTTAAACAAACAACTAAAAATGACGTGTAGGATGTTGTATCCTGCAATCCAAACTATTTGGAAGCATCCACTTACCCATCAAAAAGGGAAAACCGCGTAGTGGCATCTCTACACACAGCAATTGAACAAGATGAACCTTTGCCCTCCTGCAACACAGGGAGAAAATATCTGGGCTCAGAAACAACAATGATAATTTTCAGAGGTGTCGGCCTTTTACATGATAAATATACAAGATAGGAAACTTTTCTTCTCCCTCAGTGATATTCCCTTTACTTCTCTCCATAACAAGATGGAACTTTATTGCTAGAGCCAGGAAGTGCCCTTAGGATGCCTTGTAGACTAAAGTAGTTGTAACCACTCCAAGAACTGGAAAAGAAAAAAAAATATATATATATATATAATATATATATATGTATGTGTGTTTGTGTGTGCGCACATGTATTTATATCTACTCATCTGTGTATGTATGTGTATATATGTGTATATATGGAGAGAAAGACAGATACTCCATAGTGAAGGAGAAGCCCTTTGTAACACATCCATATGGTCACGTCCAGTCTTTCACACAACTGTTTCTTCACCGGCAGTCTTTTGAAACTGCATCTTTGTGTGATACTATCTGCAAAGGTGGGCACTTTGCTCACCTACATGCATACCAGTTGAATTGTCAGAAAGCGGACTCCCTGTACTTGTATATATTTGCTAGGATGTAGGAAGTGAATTGCTGTGTCTGTTGTCGGTCTTCCCTCTTCCACACTTTCTGCTTGAATTAATAAGGCTGGAGCTTAACCAGTCAAATAATGTAAGATCACCTGAGTAATGGGAATGATGGAGAAGAGTCAGTTTTCTTGTAATTTAGTCTAACAGATGGGTAGCTGAAGGTGGGAATGATAGAGTGAGAAAATGCTTTTTTAAGTGTGCCCTGGTTCACACCCAGAGATTTTGGACAGACTCCTTTCTAGTAATTAATTGCTAGGTACAGCTCCTTAGACTGCAGTGGATTTTACATTAGCAGGGAAAGTGGTTCTCTGCAAGTCAACATAAATTATCATCCCTCTTTAGGAGGAATGTTTATGAATTAAAAGGTACCACCAAGGTGCCGTGCTCTGCCAATAGAGGTTATTTGATTAAATTGCAGTTGCTGTTGTCAGTATGGCACAGTGCATGGGGCCAAGCATCCCTTTTTAGTTAAAGTAGTTTTTCACTTCTGCTTGGGAAAGAAGGTGCAGTATCTTTTTTTTTTTTTTTTCCCTCTCTTGAAGCTTCAAAGCTCCAGCCTTGGTTATTTTTATTTCCCTTTGTGCCTGACTTGGTTTATGAAGACAGAGAAATCATGCAAGGTGGTTTCTGAGCTGCGTTGAACTTTTTATTGCTTTCAGTCTTCTTCCACTATATTGCAGCTTGAAAAATAACTGCCTATATATATATATATATACATATATATATATCTTAACTGCTTCTGGGCAGGTCCTGTACAGAGAAGGACATGAGCACCAAAGTAACTGAATGAATGCATTGTGGCTGCAGCATCAGCTTTTTCTCTTCTTGATGCTTAACTGCCAGTGCAAACTGCACTAATGACCATCTCCTAGTATTGGAGAAAGTCATTTAGGTTCTGTGTCTGTCAAAGAATATCAAGGTTTCATTCTTAATGCAGAAACTTTGTATTTTCTGTTACATTAGACATTAGAGTTAAAATCTGGAAGTCAGGAAGAGGAAACAGTCCGTGTAGTTGTGAGGTTCACTACCACTGTGTTGAGTTCTGTATGTCACCAAATGGTATTTCACCATGAAATGTGCAGGACTGCCCAATCCTGCCCCATCTTTGCTGGTATAGGTGGTCCTGCTAGAGCAGGTCACTGTGGTTCATGTGCTCCATGCTCTGGAGCTAAGTGAATGGTGGGTCCAAGGGGTGTGATTGAGAATGTTCTCACATGCAGACCTGGCAGCATTGTCCCCACTGAACACAGGTCCCCACTGAACACTGTACCACACAGCTGAGTGTGGCTTGGCTAACTGGACTTCACTGAGATTTCAGCAAGGATCAGTTCAACATTTTTTACTTCGTTTTTCAGAACAAGCATCTGAAATGGCTTTAGAGGAACACTGGGAAGCAAATGGGAGCGAGGAGCACTAGCAGTTAGAGATGCATTTTTGAGTGATAGCTGAAACCTCATCCATTTTACAGTCATAAGCTTTGTGAGCACTAGTCTCCAAAATTCAGTGTACGTTACCTGCAAATTGTGGCCGTATGTTGAGAAGAACACTTGGATTTGATCATTTGAAGTATTCAAATTCTCTAAACTTTACCAATCCGTATCCTATAGGTGATGCTGCGCTGCTGCCACCCAAACACAGTGAGCTTTGTAGGTATCTCAGGTCACCTTGACAACAGAC